GAACGCTGGCTTCTCGGGAGAGGAGAGAGAGCCCCGTGGAGGAGAAGGAACTGCATGTCCGGGCTGGGATGCGTGTGGGCCGGAAACGGAGCACGCCCGTCCAGTTTGCCTTGCAAAGCTGACCGCAGAGGTCCTTTCTGGGGGTGTCCAGGCCTCTGGCTCCCTGTGCTGACCCAGCGTGGTCCAGAGGAAAGGGCTCAGGACAGTGGGTGGTCTCTGGCTGGAGAGTCTTCTGTTCCTGTGAAGTACTGACTGAGCCCCTGTTCTTACGGGGTCTGGTCTTCCCCACCTGGGCTGGCATTTGACTTGGTCTCCTTTGAAGCCTTATCAGACCTCAGAGCCTGGGAATCAAGCCTGGGGCTTCTGCTCAGCGTTTGGGCTGACAGCAGGTTCTCGTCAGACCATCTTTTGGTTTCATTACTGCTGGTGGGGTCGGGGTGGAGGCTCCCCAGGTATGGGGAGGGGGCTTCCTCTTCTGGTCCACTGCTAAAGTCACACACATACAGACACACACACACACACACACACACACACGGTGCACATACACAAGTGGGTCTAGTAACCTTTTTGCATCCTGACTTCTGAACCCAGCTTCCAGGGAGCCAGTATTCCTCAGTTTAGGTTTCTGAGCCTTTTTGTTTGTTTCTTTGATGCCAGAGCTGAAAGCACTCCATTCTTGGGCTGCGGAGAGAGTCAGAGGTGGAGGCACTAGCCTTGAGGCACCGCACAGGGTGCCCTGAGCACCGATCACAGGCGTGACCCCTGAAATAGTGACCCCAGAGCCAGAAGTAGCCCCTGTGCACCGGCAGGAGTGGCCCCCACACAACTCCCTCCAACGGAGAAACAAAACCCCAGTGGGCTGGATCTGACCATCTCTGCTTTCTCTTTGGAAGAATCAGCCTCTCCCTGCCCAGACAGAGCTGCTCAGCTGGCCCTCCCAGGCCTGTCCCAGGAGGGTGTTTCCTGCCAGCTGAGGCGCCCAGATAGGACCGATTAACCCGAGTCGCCCTCCTGAACTCGTTCAGTGACACAGTTGCTAGAATCCAGTCTTTTAAATTTTATTAGCTCAGAAACGTCTTGTTGAATCCAAATGAAGTGCGACTTAGGGAGCGCTGGAGAGGCATTCATTGCCCGGAACGGAGCCGTGCGGGGGTCTGCAGGCTGATGTGAGCAAGGGGCCCAGCAGCAGGGCTTGAGCAGAGCTGCTGGGAGTCCTCCCCTGGAGTCCTGGAAATGACTCCTGTCTGCAGTGATGTTGAATGTGTCACCTACCACGCTGCTCCGGCAAGCGCGGTAGCCGTATCACAGGGTGGGGGAGGGACTGGGGACCCAGATGGTGCCTCCAGGGAGGAGCATCCCACTTCCTTCGAGGGGCTAAGCTGCAGCCCTGCCAAAGCCTGAGCCAACCCCGCCCACGTCCAGCCCCTCCCGCGCCCCATCCTAGGTCCAGCCTGAGCCTCGCCTTCATTCCCCCAACCCAACTCAGCCCGAACCCGCCCACCCAGCCTGAGCCCCGCCCACGCAGCCCAGGCACCGCCCACCCAACCTGAACCCCGCCCACCTAACCCGAGCCCCGCCCACGCAGCTGAAACCCCCCGAGCCCCGCCCACACCAGACCTAGCCCCGCCCACCCGATCCGACTTTCGCCCACCAGCGCTAGCCCCGCCCACAAACCTGAGCCTTGCTCAACTAGCTAGAACTCCGCCCACCGGTCTGAGCCCCACCGACCCAGGACGAGCCCCGCCCACCCAGCCTGAAGCCCCGCCCAGACATCCCGGAGCCCCGCCCACTCCGTCTGAGTTCCACCCCCCCACCTCGACCCTGGCAGACCCCATGCCATCTATGCTTCGCCCTGCCCCCCCAGCCCGGGCCCCACCCCACCTAGCCTGAGTCCCCGCCCCCAGCTAATCCCACCCGCACATCCCCCGCCCCTCCCGGGGTTGTCTGACGTGAGCCGTGATACTCAGTGACCGTCGCTGCTTTCTCGGCCGTAGTGTTTCGGGGTGCGGTGCTACTGGCACCTAGCGGTTGGCGCGCAGGGCTGCGCCTCCACTCGGAGAAGTACGGGAGAGCGGCCGCCCGCACGCGGGGTCACCCGCAAGGCCTGCAATGGACCGAACCCTGTTCTGCTGGGCCCGCAGAGCCTGGGGGGTCCGGTTCAGGGAAGGGAGGTGTCTCCTCCCCTGATGAGCCCCAGTTGATCCCCCACCCTCTGCAGAGAGGACAGGGAGGGAGAGCGGGTTCTGCGCGGGTCCTTGGGGCTTCCCTGAGTCAGGCTCTGCGCCTCTGACCCAGCCCAGCTGCAGGCCCCGGGAGGGCCAGGAGCAGAGGTGGTGTAGGCAGGCTCCCGGGGAGGCGGGGTAGGAAGCAGAGCTGAGTGGGGTCTCTCCCGGAGGGGTCCCCCCACCCCCAGGAAGTACAGAGAGCACCCTAAATATTTTTAGTATGCCTTGCAGTGCGGGCCCAGGGTCTAGGCAAAGGGTCTGACGTCTGCCTCTGGCTCTGAACCGGTTTCCATATTTGTTTGGTGTGTTGGCAGCGGATATTTGGGGAAGGGAAAGAGCTAGAAGGAGACCTACTGTGGGGTGTGTGCTGGTCTGGCTGTGCACTCCCTCATCCTCCCCCTCCCCTTTCCCTTCCAGAGGGTCAGTTAGAACACACAAGGACTGTGCGGGCAGGGGTCCCTGGCATCATCCCAGAGCAGCTCCTCTGAAGCTGTCCTGCTTCAGGCTCCTGTAAGATGCTCAGATGAACCCTCAGTGGATGGAGGCTGGAGAACAGGGAAGGATGGTGCTGCGGAACCACCGCCCCGCAACTCCACGAAGAGGTCTGGTCGGTACCTCAAGGCAGGTGGAAGAATAAAAAAATACAACGGTTAGGAAGCAAAACCGGCCTTGATGACACGATCAGGATCACCACCATCCTTTTGTTCGTCGATTGCCTTGAGCAGGCCCCAGTAACGTCTCCTTCATCCTAGCCCTGAGATTTTTTTTTTAAAGTACCATATTCAAGGCTCTTTCAGGGTTAGGAGAATGAGACCCATCATTGTTACTGGTATTTGGCATATTGGGTACACCACGGGGAGTTTGCCAGACTCTGCCGTGTGGGCAGGTAACATTTGGTAACCTGCTAGGTTGCCCAAAGTAAGAATGAGATTTGCGGCCGCGCTTCCGGAAGCTGGGTTTTATAGACTCTGGGTCTTGGCCGTTGATGGGATTACACGGCACCAGGGGACCAGTTGGTGGGTCTGACCCCTGCCTGCTGGAATTTGGAGGATCTGGGTGGAGGATGCTCAGCCCCGACCCAAGCAGGATTGGAGATCTCAGCCCTGGGACCCGCATGCCTTTGTTCCTCTGCTGGTACCTTCATGCGTGCAGAGAGTGATCACAGCATGGTGGTGGCTGGTTCCGGGGGTCTTCGGCTGCCGGAGCCCTGGTCGGGGTGGGGAGGGAAACTCAACCCGCTCCCCTCCAAGGGGCCCCGGCGAGGACAGCCAAGTGGGGGGGGGGGGGGCAGGAGACTGCGCTGTTCTCTTCCAGGATCTGAGTTTTATAGTCTCTGGGTCTTGGCCGTTGATGGGATTACATGGCGCCAGGGGGCCAGTTGGTGGGTGTGACTCCTGCCATGATGACAGCATACACATAGGAAAAACGACACAGGCGGTGAAAAAAAAAATCCCAAGGAAATTGCAGATAACTGATCAGAACTAAAATGCAGATTTGAGAGGTCAGGATGGACCCTGGTGTACCAGGCGGAGTCCAGGCCCCATAGTTAAAGCCTGGCCAAAGATGAACAGACACTCGGCAATTATCGGCCATGTGGGAAACCACCCCCGAGTGGACAGAGAGACATCACAAGGCCTCCCCAGAGATTAAGACAATTAAAAATAAGCCCTCGGTGAACTGCAAGGATTTAGAATGATTAGAGACATCATAAGGGTCAGTGAACAAGAGCAACAGGTTCAGAGATCAGCCAAAGAAGGAACTTTCCAAAGCCAGAGCCGAAGGGGCTGGAAGAAACCCTCATCCGAAATATGGCCAACAGATTAAGAAATAAGGAGCTATTTTAATTGTGTGACGTACTTTTTTGGCACGTCAGAGATATGCCCCCTCACCCTTTTCTCGAAAGGCATACTAAAAATATTTAGTGGAAGAATTTCATATCTCCAGAGTTGGTGATAAAATATTTTGGCATAGATAAAAATAAATAGAGCTAATATGACAAGGAGGCAAAATGATTAGAAGTAGATGTTGAAGGAGCAGGGTTCTCAAGCTTCCTGGTGATGAGAAATCCCACTCAAGACAATCACATCTGCAAAATTGCCCTTGAATGACTTCCCGGCCATACGATTAAAAAAAAATAAAAAAATCTGTCTGGAGCAATAGACAGCAGGGAGGGCACTTGCCTTGCATGCAGCCGACCAAGCTTGATCCTCATCATAGGGTCCCTTGGGTTCTACCCTGAGTGATCCCTGAGCACTGAGGCAGGAGTAAGCCCTGAGCACTGCTGAATGTGACCCCCCAAAAAAACAAAACAAAACAAATCAATAATGTAAGGAATAACAGAATCATGGACTTATTTCTCTGTGGCTGTTTGAGACTCTGGGTCATCAGGACTTGAGGGTGGTCCATGGGGGCTAGGCTTGCCCGTGGTCAGCTCAGCACGGGGAGAGCCCCCTGTCACAGCCGGCATGCAAGCACCGCCCGGCGAGAGCAGCAGACCCAGGTTCGAATCCAAATCACACCAGTCAGATCCCTGTAAGCGGGAGACATCGGCCCGGCTCTGGTGCCCCTTTTCTGGGTAGCCGAACCCCCTCCTGCCACTCTAATCAGGGCTGCGGAGTGGTGGACGTGGTGAGCCCCACCTAAAGCCAGGGGGTCCCCCAGGGAGCGAGGTTCTGAGACTCAGCCCCGCATGCTCGGTGTAGCTGGTGGCGGGAACGGACCCGTCCCCAGGGAAACGGACTCGTCGACTCGTGTTTTTCTCCTGTCACCCCGCAGACGACGAGCCCTATGCCAGAGGAGGCAAAGACGCCATCGGGGCGGAGGGGACGCTCGCATGCCGCCGACAGAGCATCCCAGGTGACCCCTCTCGGCCCTGTCGGGGGCGCTGGGACCCCGCGGCCTGTCTGGGCGTCGCGCCCACAGTGACACCCTGCTTCTCTCTGTCACAGAGGAGTTCCGCGGGGTCACCGTGGTGGAACTCATCAAGAAAGAGGGCAGTACGCTGGGCCTGACTATCTCGGGGGGCACGGACAAGGATGGCAAGCCCAGGGTCTCCAACCTGAGGCCTGGGGGCCTCGCAGCCAGGTGAGATGGGCCCGGCCAGCAGCACTTGTCTGTCCCCAAGAGGGTTCGGGCGGGGGCAGTTCTCAGGCCTCTCAGGCTGACTCCTGGTTCCCTGCACACTCTCTTCCTCTCCCTGCCCACCCCACCCGGGAGCCCCCATCACCATCACTGCCTGGGCTGGTGCGGGGGCGGGGGGAGTCGTGGCTTTAGGAGAGCAGGTGGAAGGGCAGTAGGCAGGGCTGGGGGAGGGAGGGTCTGGGGGCATCAGACACACAGGTGAGCGAGGACAACACCTGGAACATCCCTTCTTGTCCCCACCTGGAAAACGACCCACCCCAGCCTGGGCTGGAGAAATAACAGGGAATGAGGTACTTGCCGTGCTGTCCTCTCCCGACCACTCCATCCTGAGGACAGTGGCCCGGGGTGGATTCCCAACTCCGGAGCTCCAAGTGGGTGGAGTCTGGAAAAGGAAACATCTAGAACTCACTCCGCCCGGTGAACTCAAGCCTGAGGGTTGAATGCATGCACAGTCGCCTCCCCTCTCTGACTGGTGGGCTGAGGGGGTTCTCAGGGCCGGAGCCCCTGAGCTCACTGACCGACCCTGCCTGGAAGTTGCGGCAGAGGACGCTGTTTCCCTCCTGAGAGCACCGAGTCCATCCAGCCCTGGGGTGAGACCCACTTGCCCTGGCACCTCACTGTGGGCCCCCCCGAGCACCACCAGGAGCACTGCCAGGTGTGGCCCGCAAGCAAACAGACTCAGATAAAGCAGGACCCAAAGAGCTAGATTCTGAGGCTGGAGCGATAGCACAGCGGGTAGGGCGTTTCCTTGCATGCGGCCGACCCGGGTTCGATTCCCAGCATCCCAGAGGGTCCCCTGAGCACCGCCAGGAATAATTCCTGAGTGCATGAACCAGGAGTAACCCCTGTGCATCACCGGGTGTGACCCAAAAAGCAAAAAGATAAAAGAAAGAAAGAAAAAAGGAGCCAGAGCCTAGGGTCCTGGGCCCACCCCACGTGCCGGCTCTGGCCCCCTAGGAGCGACCTGCTGAACGTGGGTGACTACATCCGCTCCGTGAATGGGATCCGCCTGACGCAGCTGCGGCATGACGAGATCATCACTCTGCTCAAGAACGTGGGCGAGCGCGTGGTGCTGGAGGTGGAGTATGAGCTTCCCCCGCCCGGTGGGTGCACGGAGCTGCCGCCCCCTCCAGGGCCTGGGGGTGGGGGACCCCTGGAGACCAGCCCAGACATCCCCCGCCCTGCCCCCGGCCCGCTGTCAACCAGGGGCCCTGCGTCATTCCACACCCGTCGTTCCCGGATCCCTGTGGGGGAGACGTGGGGGCCAAGGAACCGTGTCCTGGCCTGCAGCTGCCCCCTCCCGACCTCCCTGTCCTGGGGGCAGTGGCCCCGGGTTGCTCCTCTGGGGGTCAAGTTGGCCGAGTCTGGACACAGAAACGGGCTAGAATTCACTCGGCTGGCAGGAACTCGAGCGTGAGGGTTGGGAGTACACGCCCGGCCGCCTCCCCTCTCTGACTGGGGGGCTGGGGGCCTTAGGAGATGAGCCACTGGTGCTCGCTGACCTGCCCGGAAGTGGGGGGGAGGGCGGTGTTCCCTCCCTGCGGTCACTGTGGTCATCCAGCTGTCCTCAGCGGGCTCTGGGGGGCAGGTGCCGGCTTGGTCCGCTGACTGCGGGACTCAAAGGCATCTCCCGTTCTCCTTCAGTCCCTGAGAACAGCCCAGGGACCCTTTCGAAGACGGTGGATGTCGCCCTCTACAAAGAGGGCAATAGCTTTGGCTTTGTCCTCCGAGGTCAGTGGCAGGGCTGGCCGCGGTCGGTCAGGGAGGGGGATGGAGGGTAATCGTGCTGATTCCCTGCCTCTCCTCTCGCCTGGGGGTTGGTTCGAGGGCAGGGAGGGGGCAAAAGACTCAGGTGCTTGCCTTGCAGGAGGCTGACCCCACTGTGATCCCCAGTACCAGATACAGTTCCCTGCACACCACCAGAGTGACCCCTGAGCACTGCGCAGTGCTCAGGAGTAAGCCCTGAGCCCTGCTGGGTGTTCCCAGTCCCTCCCCACCATAACACTGTGACTTCTACTGACTTGGCAGCCCCTGTCTTTAGGTGACTCAGGCCCCCCTCCTACCAAGAGCTAAAAGGAAAGCTTTGCCAACGAAGAGAGGGTGAGGAGAGGTGGCGGGAGGGAAACGTTTCACCAGGAATAATGTTGAGATCGGGGCCGGAGTGATAGTACAATGGGTTGGCACATGCCCGACTCAGGTGCGATCCCTGGCGCCCCATAGGGCCCCCTCAACCCCAGGGTGATGCCAGAGCAGAACCAGAGCCAGGAACAAGGCCCGGGAGTGGCCCCCAACCCAAATAGCAGTGATGGTGAATGCACTTCCGGGGTCCAGCACAACCGTGGGTCTGCCTAGCCTCCGAGGCCCACGGGGAAGTAGGGTAAAGCCGGGGTTCAGGGCAGCAGCTGAGGACCCCCAGTGTGAGCAACCTTGGGGCCGGTTCCGGGGAGCGTGGGAGCCGGGGTCACAGAAACAGCCCTTTGGCTGGCAAGAACGGAGGGGCAAAGGGTCCTGACTCGGGGCCCAGCAGGGCCCAGGGGTCGGGCAGGGCAACGGCTCGTCCATCTCTTGCTGGGGTCTGTCCAGGCGGCGCCCATGAGGACAGTCACAAGTCCCGCCCACTCGTCCTGACACACGTGCGACCTGGCGGCCCCGCGGACAGGTGAGTCCCGAGAATCCCCCCCTGCGGTAGCTTTTATGGGGCACACACACATTCTCCAGAGGAGGCTCAGTTGGGGACCCCTTGCTCAGAGCCAGGTGGCGGCGGCAGGACTGAGCCCCAAGGACAGAGACCCCCTTTCCTCCCACCGACCCCCGCAATGCTCTGTCCTGGTGAGACACCGTCTCTGTCGTCCCCGGCCTCAGTTTCTCTGTCTGTGCAATGGGTCCAGCTCCGCGGCCCCTGGGGTCCCAGTGAGCGGTCGGGCGCCTGGGGCAGCTCTGCCAGGGCCTCATGCCTCAGCTGGCTCCAGCACCATGTCCCTCGGCCCTGTCCCTCTGGGACCCCACGCCCAGCGCCAGGAGGAATGCGTCCAGGTCCCAGGCCCCGACGCCCCCGAGGGAGATGCCTGGCCATTTTAAGACAAGTCTGGCGTGGCCTCGTCAGAAATCTAAATCTGTCCTGGAGCAAGGCCCGTCCCGAGTTCCGAGTTATTCTTAAACTTCCCAGAATAGCCCAGGGCCACCTGTCAGAGCTGACCTCCCAGGGGGAGGGGCGGTGGCTGGCCCCGACCTACGAGACCCCCGGCTTGGACCCCTCAGACCCCGTCTCACAGTGACCTCTGGACTCAGGGCCCGGAGATGGCTGGCTGGGCCCTCGGGTCCCCGGGTTCTCCGACGCGTTCCACCCACCAGAGCCCTTTGTGGCCCCTACGGGGCCCCCTGTACACTTCCCCATCCTGTGGCCGCCCCCTGCCCCTCCAGCACCCCTCGACCGTGCGGCTGACCGGGCCTTCTCCCCAGGGAGGGCTCCCTGAAGGCGGGTGACCGGCTGCTGAGCGTGGACGGGATCCCACTGCACGCGGCCAGCCACACGGCGGCACTTGCCACGCTGCGCCAATGCAGCCACGAGGCGCTCTTCCAGGTGGAGTACGACGTGGCTGTGCCCGGTGAGCGGGGCACCCGCGGTGGCCTCGGGGGCAGCGGGTCCAGGCCCCCAGCCCCACCCCCAGCCGAGGCGCCGTGACCAGGGGCTCAGCCCTCCGCCTCTCGCCGGCACTAAACACCCCGGAAGGTTTGATGTGGGTGTCGGGCGGCAGGAAGGAGAGCTGGCCTGGCTCGCTGACCATCGGTGTGGGGAGACGCAGAGGGGGCTGGGTTTCGCTCCTGAGCCCCAGGGAGTGCCAGGGAATTGCAGTGTTTTTTTGAGGGGGGGTCACACCCAGAGATGCTCAGGGGTTACTGCTGGCTCTGCCCTCAGGAATCACTCCTGGTGGTGCTCGGGGACCATATGGGATGCTGGGGATTGAACCCGGGTCGGCTGCGTGCAAGGCAAACGCCCTCCCTGCTGTGCTGTTGCTGCAGCCCCAGGAAATGCATTTTTCTGAATAGGGGAAGGTGTTCCAATGAGCCACAGGCCTTGGTGCCCATAACAGGTGGACAGAGGCGGTGACCGCGTTGGCACTGCCCAGCCCTCAGGCCTGAGGTCCGGCCTCTCCATGGCTCAGTGCCCGTGTGAGCTTGGAGGGGCTGTGACCGTCCACCTGCCTCGGGGCCTGGGCGTCCCTCGAGGGCCAGCAGAGGGCAGAGAGGGGCTGGGGGGAAGGAATCCACCATGTCCGCCCCGTCCCTCCTTCCCCGAGCCAGACCCGGCGGCCAGCACATCGGGGCCCTTGGTGGTGGAGATCACGAAGACGCCAGGGTCCACGCTGGGCATCTCGCTCACCACGGGCTCCCACCGGAACAAGCCGGTCATCACCATCGACCGCATCAGGCCGGCCAGCGTGGTGGACAGGTGAGGCTAGCCGGGCGTGGGGGCGAGAGTGCACGGGGCGGGCAGGGGTTTGGGGGAGTGTGCACGGGGCCGTCCTGCCCACCCCTCTTTCCCTCCCGGCCTGGCCAGGAGTGGGGCCCTTCACGCCGGCGACCACATCCTGTCCATCGACGGCACCAGCACGGAGCACTGCTCCATGCTCGAAGCCACCCAGCTCCTGGCTAGCGTCTCTGAGAAAGTACGGCTGGAGATCCTACCGGCGCCCCAGTCACGGCGGCCGCTGAAGCCCCCGGAGGCAGGTACGTTGGCGTGTCTCAGGGTCCAGCCCTGAGGGCTGGTCATGGCGGAAGGACACCCAGCCTCGCCTGGAAACCGCAGCCTGTGGGGCTTACTGGAACATATGTCCCCTTCCGCGGGGCGGGGAAGACCAGAGTCCAGGGCAGCAGGAGAGGGATAAGGCTGTGTGTGTGCGTGTGTGTGTGTGTGTGTGTGTGTGCGCGTGTGTGTGTGTGTGTGTGTGTGTGTGTGTGTGCGCGCGCGTGTGTGTGTGTGTGTGTGTGTGTGTGTGGTGGGAGGGGGGGCGGTTTGGGTTGGCAGTCTGCGGGTTTCCATGGTGCGAAGCAAGTTGTGTCACTGGTTGTATCAACAGAGGTAAGGGGCTAGAAGGATTGGAGGGTCTAGTCTTCTGGGCTCTGTGCTACTCAGAGCTTGAATCCTGGGATCAGTGCCGGGCCCTCAGTGGGTCCCAAGGAGTAGCCAGAGAAGTAGGGAGGTCCTGGGTCCCCCCCCCCCCACCGACCCTTCTGATCAGGAGCCGGAAGCTGGGTGCCAGGCGGTAGCAAGGATAGCAGAAGCCGCTATTCTGGACACGACTGGGCCCGGGGATGAGGTCGAGGGTGCCCACGGGGAGGCAGGAAGGCCCCTGGACCCCCAACCTTGGGCTCCAGGTGTGAGCCCAGCTTCCCCCGAAGTGAGCTTCCTCCCTGCCAGGGCCTCATCTGAAAGGGGCCGTGAGACCCCGCCATGTGCAGGGGCGTGCCGGGAGGCCAGACCTGCACAGACCAACCCCCTCCCTGCGTCAGACATGGGAGCAGCCCGCCCGGGCCCCTGGGGCCTCAAGGAGGCGGCCACGAGACTCCTCCTCTGCCCCCGTGAGCAGCCCATGGTGGGGGCGTCCTGGGCCGGGCGTGGAGGCGGGTTTGCTCTCGGGAGGCCGAACGCCCTCCCGGCCGCCCTCGCTCTGCGCCAGGCTCGAAACCCCTCCCCGGCCGGTCAGCCGGGAGACTCGACTTGCCCCCGTCCCCCACGAGACAGTGACAGGGCAGCCCAGGCTTGGGGGGTGGGGAGGTGGGACCAGGGTCCTCAGCACCACCAGAGCCCCTCCATGGGGGGCAGAGCTGAGACAGGGCCCGGGGAGACTGGGGACTGGGGGGTGCCCCTTGGCGGCTGGTGAGGAGAGCGGACGGGGTAGCAGGCAGGGGGGGGAGGGTCTCGCTCCACTGGGGGAACACATGTAGAGTGAAGACACCCCCCCAGAGGAGCGTGGGCACGGGGGTGCCCGGTCTGTGCTGGGGGTCCCGCGGAGGCTGCCCCGGGGTCCCTGCTCTCTCTTCTTCTCCCCCACACAGGGAAGGTGCAGCCGGCAGAGCACACGCACCGCTGGGGCGCCTGCGTGCCCTCCTCCCACAGCCCCCGGCCCGGTGCCTGCAGGACCCCCAGCTGGGCCACACCCCCTGGCCAGGACCCCAGCCGATGTAATGTGCCCCTCTCCCCGTCCTCGTCCCCTGGCCAGACCCCTTCCCTGTCTCCTCGGGATGGGCCCGCGCTCTCCGTGGGGGAGAAGGCGACGATCAGGCTGGCAGTCCCGGCGGCCTTCCCTGGGGAGGCGTCCCGGTGTCCTGGCGGGGTTGGGGGGGGGCTGCACAGGGGGGCGTCACACGGCTGTTTTCTCGTCTCCCCAGCCTTGTCCTCGACGCCCTTTTCCTCGCCCACCGTGAACCACGCCTTCCCCAGTGCCAACCCCGGCACCCTCCCTCGTGGCTCTCAGCCCGTGAGCCCCCGGACCTCCGTGGGGCGCAGGAAGCCACGCCGAAGGGAGCACCGGAGTTCCCGTGAGCCACGGCCCCCGCCACGGCTGGGTGGGGGGCCGGCACGGAGCAGTCCTAGGGGCCCTGTGGGTCTGGGCAGGGTGGGCCCAGGCGGTGCCGGGATCACCGATGCCTTTTCTGAGCCATGACGGGCAGGCCCTCGGCGACTGGTGCCGTCTCGGTTTCCTAGCGCAGAATCCTGATTCACGCAGGGAGGGAGTCAGAGTCACACCCTCGCTGGCATGGGGTCATTTCCCCGTGAGTAAGACACAGTGTCCGGGGCCAGGGAGACAGCACTTGCAGGGACTGGCTCTGGTGTCATCCCTGGCACCCCAGATGGTTCCCCGAGCCCTGCTGGGAGTGATCCCTGAGCACCAAGCCAGGGGGGTAACCCCTGAGCACCGCTGGGTGTGGTCCCAAGCAGAACCAATTAAACAAAGATTCTTACATCAACATCCAAGAACCAGTATGGTGCTCAGGTTGTAATACGCAGTATCAAATAGAACACGATCAAGTGGCATCAACAAGAGTAGAATAAAAATACATTTTATTTAATGAATGATAGTATCTAGTGAATGAGACCGGTTGTAGTTACTGATAGTATTTTAATCGCTCCAGGCTGGAGCGATAGCACAGCAGTAGGGCGTTTGCCTTGTGTGCAGCTGGTCGGGCCAAGCCGGGTTCAATTCCTCTGCCCCTCTCGGAGAGCCTGGCAAACTACCAAGATTATCTTGCCCGCACGGCAAAGCCTGGCAAGCTACCTGTCAAGTATTCGATATGCCAAACACAGTAACAACAAGTCTCGCGATGGAGACGTTACTGGGCCCACTCGAGCAAATTGATGAACAACGGGAGGACAGTGACAGTGACAGTATTTTAATAATAATGCAAATCGATTTTCTATAGGGGATATGAAGCAACATACATCCTTTTCTAGGGGACAGGAGTAGAGGCAAACTTTTTTTTTTATTTAAAAATTCTTTTCAGTCACCATAATTTACAGTCACTAAGTCATTCATGATTAAGCTCCAGGCAGATGGTGCCCCAACACCTTCACCGGCACCCACCACCCTCCACCAGTGTCCCCCGTTTCCCTCCCCCACTGCCTGCCTCTGTGGCAGGCACGTTCCCCTCCCCCATAATCCTAGTGTTCCCTTCCCTCACTTATCCCCCTCACTCTCGTCCCAGTGCCAAGCTTCCTCCCGAGACCAGTTCTCCTGCTCTTCCTTCCTATGGCCACTGGGCATTTGACGTTCCCCTCTGAGGTTCCCTTCCATCCCACAAGTGAGATCATTCTGTGATGATCCGAAAAATAACAGCTGGATCAGGATCCCGCTAGGTCTAGGAAAGATTAATCTGGCCTGAGCACTGTAGTCTGAGATCTATAGTGAGATGTCCCCAGGAGAGCCACCCTACAAGTTTAATGTATCTCTTACTGTGTCCATACAGAAGAACTCATATTGGGTCTGGAGGGATAGCGGGTAAGGCGTTTGCCTTGCAAGCAGTCAACATGACCAACCCGAGTTCGATTCCTCCGCCCCTGTCAGAGAGCCCAGCAAGCTACCGAGAGTATCTCGCCCGCACGGCAAAGCCTGGCAAGCTACCCATGACGTATTCGATATGCCAAACACAGTAACAACAAAGTCTCACAATGGAGACATTACTGGGCCCACTCGAGCAAATCGATGAACAATGGGAGGACAGTGACAGTGAGATCATTCTGAGCCTGTTTCTCTTCCCCCTGGCTGATTTCGCTCCACGTGATTCTCTTCAGATCCATTCACACTGCAGTGAATTGCGGGACTTTATCTTTTCTTGCGGCCAAGTAGTATTCCGTTGTGTATCGTAGTTTTTTTTTTTTTCTTTTGGTTCTTTGGGCCACACCCAGGGCTCCTGGCTCTGCACTCAGGAGTCACTCCTGGTGATGCTCAGGGGCCATATGGGAAGCCAGGGATTGAACCCGGGTCAGTTGTGTGTTAGACAAGTGACCTCGCCGCTGTACCATCTCTTCGGCCTCTGTTCCATAGTCTCTTTGTCTACTCTCTGTTCTTGGCTACTCTCTCGGATTTGGTTCCAGATTCTGGCTATTGTGGAAAGTGCTGCAATGAACACAGAAGTGCAGAGAGCTTTTCCAGTTTGTGCTTGTGGACTCTTGGGGTATATGCCGAGGTGTGGAACTGCTGGGTCATACAGAAGCTCAGTTGTTAGTTTTTTGAGTAATGACCATAATGACTTCCCAAAAGGCTGGACTGGCCGACATTGCCATCCAGGAGAGGAGGGTCCTTCCTTCCTCACCTCCATGCCAGCAATGGTTGGTGCTGTTCTCATTGGCGTGTGCCAGTCTCTGTGGTGTGAGATGATATCTCATTGCTGTTCTGATTTGCATCTCCCTGATGATTAGTAATATAGAGCATTTTTGTGCCTTTGTATTTCTTCTTTGAGAATTTTTCTGTTCATTTCCTCTCCCCATTTTCTGATAGGATGGGATTTTATTTTCCTGTAGAGTGCCACCAGTGAAAAGCAACATATATCTCATAACACACTAAATAATTAAAGACAGAGTCTCCATAGGACCAGCAGGCCCAGTTTTAGGTAGAAACACAAGAGATGAAACCCTGTATCCTGTCCCCCACAAAACATGGTTGCGAAAATCCCAGCATCTTTGCATCATGTTGGACAGCCGGGAGCAACCCGCGGCCTTCCCTGATGAAGGCTAAACAATATGGGGCTGGAGCGATAGCACAGCGGGGAGGGCGTTTGCCTTGCAAGCGGCCGACCTGGATTCGATTCCCAGCATCCCATATGGTCCCCCAAGCACCAGGAGTAATTTCTGAGTGCAGAGCCTGGGGTAACCCCTGTTCATCACCGGGTGTGACCGAAAAAGAAAAAGAAAAGATAGAAAGAAAGAAAGAAAGAAAGAAAGCTAAACAGGATGTAGGAAACACTCCAGCTAGTGACGCCGTGTGGAAGGCCCTGTGTTCGGGAGGGTGTCTGGAGCGGATCTGAGGGGATCTGAGGGGATCCAGGCAGACCCACTCCTCCCGTATCACCCTGTTACATTGCCCAGAAGCCCCCACATCCGCCGAGAAGGAATAGTCCCAGACAATGCCGAGAGCTGGCACCAAGGACAGGAGGGAGGCAGCAGCTGATAGGAACCGGCTGGTCCACCGTGGCTGTTGATGGTGGCCGTCTGACTTGGTGAATAGAGCACCGTGGGCCTGGCTCGCTCGGAGCCGGGAGTCCTGTGAGTGACCATAGCTGAGAAGGGCATGTCACTAACCCTAGTGGCTTCACACGATGCTTAGAGAGAGTTGCACAAGGTGCAATAAGTAATGCTGGGAGCCAAAGCAACAGTACAGTGGGGAGGGCGTTTGCCTTGCACATGGCTGTTCTGGGTTCGATCCCCGACACCCCATAGGTTCCCTGAGAAATGCTAGGAGCAATTCCTGAGTGCAGAGCCAGGAGTTAGCCCCGGGCCTCGCCGGGTGGGACCCAAAACACAGAGAGCTCTCTGGTCTCAGTGTCACAGCCCCGGGAACGGTGTCTCCCGGCTGGACCCCCAATCCCGTGGAGCCTATGCGAGTCCCGTCCCGGGGTCTTCCTGACCACCCTGGCGTGACTCGGACGAGCAGGTGTGCCCGGGTGCTCGTCTGAGTGTGGTGCCTGCCTTCCAACAGTGTCACTCGCCTCCAGCACGGTGGGGCCAGCTGGGCAGGTCGTGCACACGGAGACCACGGAGGTTGTGCTCTGCGGGGACCCCCTCAGCGGCTTCGGCCTCCAGCTGCAGGGCGGCGTGTTCGCCACCGAGACGCTCTCGTCTCCGCCCCTGGTGCGCTTCATCGAGCCCGACAGCCCGGCCGAGAGGTGAGCTGAGCCCCGTGCCCGGCCCCGCCCCCGTCCCCAGGGGCAGTGGGGAAACTGAGTCACCGCCAACTTCCCACCGGTTCTCGAGACCATCACCGCTCAGAGATGCTCCCATGGGTTGGAAACCGCCCTAGAAACTCTGCGAGACAGCCGGGCCTCCTCCATCAGAGAGGCACCGAGGCCCAGGCTAGCCCAGAGGAGCCGGGTGAGGGCCGTGTCCCGGGTCTCCTCTCTGCCCCGCAGGTGTGGGCTGCTGCAGGTGGGAGACCGCGTGCTGTCCATCAATGGCGTGGCCACAGAGGACGGCACCATGGAGGAGGCCAACCAGCTACTGCGGGACGCGGCGCTGGCCCACAAGGTCGTGCTCGAGGTCGAGTTCGACGTGGCTGGTGAGGTGCCCGGCTTTCCCCTTGGCTCGGGGTCCGGTGCCTCTTGGTCCTGTCCTGAGCCTGGGGGGCTGCCGGCTGGTGGGACCCCCTCGTGGGCAGGGAGGGCAGTGTTCCCTCGGCGGATGCGGACAGGTTGGGGGAAGGTCCTGCTTCGGAGGTCGGGGGCTGGATGCAGTGACCAGAATCCAGAGAAAGGGCTGTCGCATTGGGACTGGTTAGAGGAGAACACCGTCCCCCCCTTGGGGGGCGCGGTGGGGAGAGGGACCCCGCGGGCAGCTGTCCTCCCGGCTGCTCTCGCCAGGAACTGCTTTCCTTCATTTGTTCTGGGGCCACCCCTGGCGGTGCTCGAGGCTTACCCCTGCTCTGTGCTCAGGGATCCCTCCTGGCGGGGTTCAGGGCATCATCTGGGGTGCCGGGGACCGAACCTGGGTCAGTGGCGTGCTAGGCAAGCACCCTCCCCGCTGTGCTGTCGCTCACGCCCCTAGGTGGGCGGATCTGTCAGCTCACCGTTCCTCAGTTTCCCCTCATGTCAGGCAGAAGAAGCAGACGGGCTCGGGATGAGGAGGTGGCGGGTGCGGCTTGCGGGGGGCGGGCGGGGGGGATTGCCGGGGTCTCACTGCTCCTGGGTTTGTGGCAGAGTCCGTCATCCCCAGCAGTGGCACGTTCCACGTGAAGCTGCCGAAGAGGCGTGGCGTGGAGCTCGGCATCACCATCAGCTGTGAGTGCCACCAGCATGTCTTGGGCCCAGCCGAATCCTCCAGGAGCCCGTTTCCCGCACGCGGGCGGGGGAGGAGGCCTTCCTGAGCCTTCTGGAGTCTCTAGTCCCTGGACAGGGGCTGCAGCCACAGAGCTTGGCGTCACCCGCAGCTCCCCCCGTGGCCAAAGGGTAGCACCCAAGGGTGGCATTATCAGCACATGGTGGCCCCCCTGCAGCTGGGCCCCCAACACCACCCCCTGTGCCCGGTGCTGGGGTGCAGATGCCAGCTGAGACCGTCCTGCGGGGGCTCCTGGTTTGCTCGGGGCTCGGCTGTCGGTGAGGAAAGGGCTGGAGTGGCCGGCACCAGGCTGGCACCAAGAGCCCCCAAGGGCTTGTCCCCACGAGGTCTGTGGCCTCATCCCCACTTTGCAGAGGGGATGCAGGCCCAGAGTGGCGATGGCCAGCTGCTGGCCACTGGCTGGTGTGCGGGCCGTGTCCCTCTCTGCCGCCCAATGCTGCCAGTTCACAGACGCTCCCTTTCCAGCTGCCAGCAGGAAGCGGGGCGACCCTCTCATCATCTCGGACATCAAGAAGGGCAGCGTGGCCCACAGGTAGGGGCACGGCCGGGGCGGGGCAGGGGAACAGGCCCACCCGGTCAGGCACCGACCTCTCCCCCGCCCCTGCGGGTACAGGACCGGCACGCTGGAGCCGGGAGACAAGCTGCTGGCCATCGACAACATCCGGCTGGACAATTGTCCCATGGAGGACGCCGTGCAGATCCTGAGGCAGTGTGAGGACCTGGTGAAGCTGAAGATCCGGAAGGACGAGGACAACTCTGGTGCGCCCTGACCCCATGTCTCGAGGTTACCCCCACCCCAGCATGGCATGGAGACACCCCTACCCCCCGGCTGAGCGAACAGAGGCGTGGAAGGGCGCCTGGGACACTGACCCAGGAGGGCTTCGGCACGTGGCACCATGGCCCTGGGCCCTCTCAGGAAAGGCTGGCAGAAGGGACATCTGCGGGCAGCCAGGCGCAGAGGAGGGAGTGGGCAGCGGATGAGGCAGAGATTCCCTCCCCTGCGGGCCGGCAGCCCTGCAGAACAGTGCCTCTGAGGGCAGACGGGGCCAGTGTGAGCGAGAGAAAGAGGGAGAGAGCAGGAGCGAGGCAGGGAGGCGTTGGGAAGGGCGAGGACTACGGTTAAGGGAACGTGACTCCCTTATCATGGGGGCTCTGGCTGGTGCCTGCCCGGGAGGGAAGGACACTGTGGACAGATTTCTTTATTTTTTTTTTTTTACTTTCCTCGAAAGAACTAGAAATCTCGTTTCTTCTCATCAGTTTTCATCATCACCGTCAAAACTTCCTTGTGTCAAGTGCACAATCTGGATTTTCCCGAACACGTTTCCTGCCTCCTTTCCTTCCTCCCCTCCTTGGGGGTGTTTGGATGCGGGAAATTCATTTCTAGGTGGCCGTGGGGTCCCGGGGGTGTGCCCTCTGACGGTGTGAGAGAGGGGGCCTCCCGGGATGAGCGGTGGCAACTCCCCGGCCCCGTGGGGCACCCCTCTTGCAGACGAGCAGGAGACCACCGGGGCCGTCAGCTACACGGTGGAGCTGAAGCGCTACGGGGGCCCGCTGGGCATCACCATCTCGGGCACCGAGGAGCCGTTTGACCCCATCGTCATCTCGGGCCTCACCAAACGCGGGCTGGCCGAGAGGTGAGCTGGACTTCCGGGGCGTGGCCAGCCTCCCTGGACCCCGCCTCTGTCCCAGCACCAGTGCTCTGGGTGACCTCGGGTGGGCCTGGCCCAGTCCTGGCCTCGGTCCTGCAGGCCCTCACAGCCCCCCTACCCTGGACACACCCCTACTTCTGCACAGTGCCAGCTGTTGGGCACGAGCATCCTCTGCCTGCAGCTGGGTGTGTGATCCTTGACCGGCCCCATGGCCCCCCGCTGTCCCCAGGAACTGGGTGGCTCTCCACCTGCTATCATAGCTGCGGAGGGGGGACTGTGGGAAGGGCCGTTCTTGGGGGCGCAGGACTGGTGGGGACCAGAACCCGGGCTGAACCGGGTCTCAGGGCGGGGCCCAAGAAAGCAGCCCCAGTGTGCATGCAATGTGCTGGGGGAGACTGGCCAGGCCTGAGCGGCGGTCCGAACCCCCAGGAGAGGGCACGGCACAGGAAGGGCAGCTTCTCTGCAGCCAAGCCCGGCTGGACCAACCCACAGCGATGTGGGTGCCTCGGTCCTGGAGCGCCCCCTGCTGGACGCCCAGCAGACTGCAGCGGCCCATGTGATGCTTCTGACGGTTGGTGCCTCCCCCACCCCTCACGGGTGTCTGGAGGCTGGGAGGGGCAGCGGACAGTCCCTCCTGCCCTCGCCGTGTCGCTAGCTTGGTGCTACCCAAGGGTGATACAGTGCTAACCGCAAATTGAAAACCTCCCCAGCAGCCCTTTAGAGATGGAACAAGCCCCTAACAGACTCTTTTTATTTAAAAAAATTTTTTTTAGATTTACGAATTTTTGTGCTTGGGTTTCAATCGTACAATGATCCAACACCCATCCCTCCACCAGTGCCCATTTTCCACCACCACGGATCCCAGTATCCCTCCCAACCCCCATCCCCCCCACCCCACCCTGCCTCTGTGGCAGGGCATTCCCTTTTGTTCTCTCTCTCTCTCTTTTTGGGTGCTGTGGTTTGCAAAAGAGGCATTGAGTGGCAATCATGTTCGGTGTATAGTCTACTTTCAGCATGCTTCTCCCGTGAGATGGAACAAGCCCCTAACAGACTCTTAAATATGTTTCTTTCGGTCGCTCTGGAAGTTTGCATGTGACCCCGTTGGCCCCAGTAGGCAGGGTCCGTGTTTTACCAGCACAGCGTGGTCCGAGCCAGACACTGTTGGGGGGGCCGGGGTTCCACGTAGCTGGTGTCCTCTGCCTCCCTCCCCGAATCTGCCGTACCCAGACCTGCACTCGGCCCCTGAGTGCCCCCCGGGGCTACACCGACATTTGGGGTCCGAGTTTGCCCGCCCATTGCCCGAGCACCCCCCTCCCCACTCTGAGCCCTGCCCCGACCCCGCCCCACACTCGGACCCCGGGAATCTAAGTTTCCCTCAAAGCTCCTCAGGTGATGGCCCCCCAGAGCAATGCCTCTGCTGGCCTTGTCAGCCCTCTCCTCTCTGTGAGGTCTCGGGGACCCCTGTGACTTGTTCATTCCCTAGCTGGGGTAACTGAGGCACGGAGAAAAAGGGAAGGCTGCCCATCGGTTTCTGCGTGCTGGTAAGCTTGGGTTATAGTTTGATAAGTGTCATCATCCCTTTCTACAGATAAAGGAATTGAAAACTCCAGAAATGGGGCTGGAGCGATAGTACAGCGGGTAGGGCGTTTGACTTGCATGCGACTGACCCGGGTTCGATTCCCAGCATCCCATAGGGTCCCCTGAGCACCTTCAGGATGAATTCCTGAGTGCAGAGCCAGGAGTAACCCCTGAGCACTGCAGGTGTGACCCAAAAAGAAAGAAAGAAAAAAGAAAACTCCATACAGTCAGGAAACCAGTCCAAGATCCCACAGCCAGTATGTGGAATTTAAACTCTGCTTAAGACTCATGCTGGATACTGGTTTCATAATCTTCTCCTTGATTTTAGACTTTGTATATTTCTTTGGGTTTTTTTTTTTTTGCTTTTTTTGGGGGGTCACACCTGGCGATGCACAGGGGTTACTCCTGGCCCATGCACTCAGGAATCACTCCTGGCAGTGCTCGGGGGACCCTATGGGATGCTGGGGATTGAACTCGGGTCGGCCGCATGCAAGGTAAACACCCTACCTGCTGTGCTATCGCTCCAGCCCCAAGACTTTGTATCTTTCTTGATCCAACCCCAGACTCTTCTTTTGCAGCTGGGCTAACTGAGTTGGCCAGGCTCGTATTCGGGGTCTCTGAGTGTCTAACTCTCATACCACTTCCCCAGGACGGGCGCTATCCACATCGGGGACCGCATCCTGGCCATCAACAGCGTTAGCCTCAAGGGCCGGCCCCTGAGTGAGGCCATCCACCTCCTGCAGGTGGCTGGAGAGACCGTCACGCTGAAGATCAAGAAGCAGCTAGACCGTGAGCGTCCCAATGCCCTGGACACACCCCCCGCCCCCACCGTTAGGAATGGACGTTACTCTCGGTTGGGTGTTCAGTGCCCTGATTCCTCCCCACCCTCTGCAGAGGAGGCGTGAGCCGACAGTGCTCAGAGGGAGGTGGAGTCCAGCCACACTCATTCCTTCTCGCCACTGGTGCCCAAGGCCTGGGCGGTCCCTGGTGGGCCTGGGTCACTTGGCTTGGTGGTTTCGGCTCTTGCCACCCAGGCCTGTCAGTGGAGGGGCACTGGCTGGGTGGAGGGGTGCAGTGCCGGTGGTGAAACTGGGTGCATGCATGGGGGGTGTCCGCTCCAGCCTGGAGCCACCCCCACCCCTGTCTCCTGCCCCTGGAAGTCCCAAATGTTGGGTCGTCTGGCTGTCAGTTGCAGATTCCTGCCTCCCCCAGACCTGTCCCCCGTGCCGGGGGAGAGGCCAGCAGGAGCGGTGGGCACTGGGGCTGACCTGCCACTCAGCCTTTCCGGGCCTCCGTGGTCCCGTCTGTGAAATGGGTTCTGGCCTTCCAGCCGCCCATGAGCCCAGAGGCAGCCTCGGGGAGTGGCCACGTCCAAGGGGGGCGGCCAGTGGCACTGAGACCCCCTTTCCCTTCCAGGCCCCCTCCCGCCCCTCAAGTCCTGCACCCTCAGCGAGGCCAGCGACGTGGATGAGGACCCGCCCGAGGCCCTCAGGGGGGGCCCGCTGGCCGCCCGCTTCTCGCCCGCCGTGCCCAGCGTGGACAGCGCGGTGGAGTCGTGGGACAGCTCAGCCACGGAGGGCGGCTTTGGGGGTTCAGGTAGCCACCCCGGGGCCCTCCTTGACCAGCACGTCCGTCCCTCCTCCGGCAGCTTCCTTCTGGGGGGCTCCAGCCCGGGGGGCCGCCCTGCTTGGGCCGTCCAGGCTACTCCTGGGGCCCCGGCTGCTCGGTACAGGATATGACCCTGGCTCTCCCCATCCCTTCCTCTCGTTGTGCTGACCGGGGCCCCCACACACTCCTCCCCCCACCCCTCGTGCTGCCTGGGTCACTCACTCTAGGCACCCAGGTCGGTGCCGGGAATCGAACTTTGGGCCTCGTGCCTGCTCGGCAAGTGTTATCCCACAGGAACGCGCATGGCTGGCCAGCTCATGCGGGCTTCAGACGTGAGGACCCGCTGCCCAGCACTTAGCTCGGAGGCTGTCAGCACTCAGAGCTCCCAATGAAGATGTCCAGGCCCCACCCCCACTGTCCACGACCTCCCATTGACCTGCCTCCTTGGTCCTGTTGAGACCACGGGTGGCCGGAGGGAGCAGGGGCCGCAGCTGTGTCCAGTTTGCTGCCTCTGAACCCTGAGGTCAGAGCCAGGCAGTGATGGAGCCAGGCCTCGGGGTGGCCTTGTGTTGACCAGCCCTGGGCCTCTGCCCCCACCTCCCCCTCTCCAGCACTTGGTCAGCACTGGCCAGCAGGGGGCGCTCTCCAGGCCAGAGGATGGGCGGGCAGCACCTTCCCTCTGAGGCCCAGGGTGGGGGGCGGGTCTCAGGCAAGCACAATTCTCTGGAACCCGGTGCCAGGGGAGGACAGGACATCAGTGGAGGGCCAGGTGTGGGCTCTGGGGCCAGCTCCAGCCAGGACTCAGACTTTGCAGCTGGACACGAGACAGGACGAGGCTGCGCTGTCCCCAGAGGGCAGGTGCCACCCGTCTTTGCCGCCCCCAGGTCCTTGCGTGCCCCAGGCGACTGCCCGCAGCCTCACCCCGCACGAGTGGAGGCCGGCCCGGCCGAGAGCCAGCTATGCCCCAGCCCCTGCTGACGAGGAGGACGAGGAGTGGGGGCCAGCGGCGAGGTCTGTGGGGTGGGGGGTCCTCTCGGGAGAGAGAACTCCAATGGGCCCCCTGGGGAGGACGTGGGGAGGGACAGACCCTCCCCCACTCCCCTCTCCTAGTGGGCCTGGGTCGTGGAGGGCTGGGGTGAGGGTGTGAGTGACCGGGACCCCTGACCCAGCCGGCCCAGCTGCTTCCTGTCTGCCTGCATGTCCTTTACTGCCCAGCCCCGCCCTGGCGTCCTCCCCGCCACCTCCCCACACAGCAGCTGGGTGGCGCCCCCTAGTGGCCAGGAGTCTGCATGCGGCACCCAGAGAGGCCCATAACTCCTTGTGGGGGACAGGCCAGCCCCTTCTGGGCGTTGTCCCCTAGTGCTGTGTCCGAGACGGCTGGACCCAGAGGGCTGAGGAAGGAGGGGACTCAGCAAAGGCCTGTGGCCTCAGTCGCTCCCCTGACACATGGGCAGGGAGGAGGCCGTCGCTGCCTGTCCCGAGGGCCCAGTGGGCCTTGCAGGAAGGTGTTTTGCAGACCCCAGAGAACTGTCTAAGGTCCAGGACCGTGCAGAGGCCCGTGGCTGTGCGGTGGGAGAAAGCCAACCCCCGGCTCCTCCAGCCCAGGACGGAAGTTGGGGTGTCCCCGGCCCGCCAGGCACACACTCCATCTTCTCATCCATCTGTGTCTGCTGCCCGTCCCCCCTCCGTCCCTACCTCATGATGTCGTGTGTCGGGGTGGGGCCGGGGCCGCCCTGTGGGACTGCACCATGGATCTCCTGTCTGTCTGTCTGTCTGTCTGTCCGTCTCTCTTCCCAGGCGTCCTGTGTCACCGCACTCCACCCCGTCTCATCTGCCCCCGTTCTAACTGGCCACACCAGCTGCCCGGTCACCCCCCCATTCCGTGTCACCACTCACTGACCCCAGGGCCCCAGCACTGCCACCAAGGACGCCCGCCCGCTCGCCCACCCGCCCCGCGGCTCCTCAGCGCTGGGCCCCGAACCCTGAAGACTCCGCAGGCCTCCCCTCCCCTCCTGCCCGCCCACCCGCCCACCCCCCGGCAGGAGCTGACGCTCTCTGGTCCCCACGTTACAGCCCCGTGCCCGGCCCGGCCCGCGAGGAGGGCTTCTGGTGTGTGCTCGGGGAGGCCCTGGAGGACCTGGAGTCGTGCGGCCAGTCGGAGCTGCTGAGGGAGCTGGAGGTAGGGCCCGCCAGGCACGCCCCTCGCCCCCGGCCCTGTCCTGGCACAGGTCGGACCCGGTCCTGTCCCCGCAGGCGTCCATCATGACGGGCACCGTGCAGGGCGTGGCCCTGGAGGGGCGGCCTGGCCCCCGGGGCTGGCGAAGGGGCCGCGAGGTCCGAGCTGCACCCGACGAGATGCAGGAGCTGCTGCTGCCGCCACCCCCGCCCCCGCTGGAGATGCACAAGGTGGGTGTCGCCCCGGGCAGGCCGGCGAGGATCATGCTTGTGGGAGCCGCGGGGGGCGTACAGGGGTGGGGGGGCTTCCATAGACCTGGAGCTGCGCAGGCTTTCACTGTGCCCTGGGAAGCAGGAGGAAGTTCCAGAATGTTCTGCCCCACACCTGCGATACAGCAACGGCCTCTGGTTCTGAGGGCCAAGGCTGCTGGGCGGAAAGGCAGGCGCCCGGGTGTGTGCCTGCCTATGAGTGTCCACGTGTGCACCTGCGTGTGCATGTGTGTCATGCGTGCATGTATGTGCATGTGTCCACGCACATGTGTGTGCATGTTGCATGTGCGTGCGTGCACGTGCACGCGTGTACTTGCATGTATCTGTGTGTGCATAGTGCCTACGTGTGCGTGCATGCGTGCATGCACGCGTACATGTTGTATGTGTGTGCGTGTGCTTGTGCATGTGAGTGTGTGTGGATATGTATGCTTGCATGTGTGTGCATGCGTGTGTCCGTGTGTGTGTACATGTATGTGTGCGCACATGTGTGTGCATGCCCGAACATGCCGTGTCTCTCTCCCGCACTCTCCCCAATCCCAGCTGCCACGGCTCCCTCTTTGGAGAAGCAAAACTCAGACAAGACCAAACTCGCCCCAAAGCTGTCAGTAGCCGCTGGTCCCCCCTTGGGAGCCGGTCGTCGAGGGGCCTGCGAGTGGGGGGCCAAGCAGGGGCTGGCGGGAAAGGAGCCCCTTCCCGGGGCTCGCAGCACTGGGCGCTCCGGGTGGCAGAGAGCCCGACCTCCCCACAGGGCTTCATGGAGGGGGTGCTCTGGGGACAAAGGTCAGCGCTCCAGGGCCTCCTCCCTCGGCTCCCAGGTGACCCTCCTTAAGGACCCCGGGCGGAATGACTTTGGGTTCAGCGTCTCAGACGGCCTCCTGGAGAAGGGTGTGTTCGTGCACACGGTGCGGCCTGGTGGCCCAGCCCAGCGCGGGGGGCTGCGCCCCTTTGACAGGCTCCTCCAGGTACGGCTGGGTCAGGGGCCAGAGCACCCACTTGCACCCTGGATGCCCGATTCCTCACCATCTGGGCTGCCCCCAACCCCCTGACCTCGTCCCAGGGCCAGAAACAGCCGGGCCCTGCTGGGGACAAGAGGCTGGGGTGGGGGCGGCCAGAAGCATCAGCCCAGCTCCATTCCCCCCCCCCCCACCGCCGGGAACTGGCTGTATTTGTGGGGGATTTGACTGTTCTCGCACCATGGCCGTTGACGGACGTTTGTCCATTGAAATTCATTCTGCAAGGAAACTTGCCATCCCGAGAGGGGAAAGCTCTTGCTTGGAAATAGGCTTGAAAAATAAGAAACCAGGCAAGTTCCCAGCCCGGGTTTGGGCAAGCGGTGGGCGGGTAGACATGAGGGGAGGCGGCCAGCTGACCCCCGATGGCCCAAGGGTGCCAACACCCCCCCCCCCCCCGTGGCTCTGCCCCTACAGGTCAACCACGTCCGCACGCGGGACTTTGACTGCTGTCTGGCTGTGCCCCTCCTGGCCGAGGCCGGCGATGTCCTAGAGCTGGTCATCAGCCGGAACCCGCTGACCACCAGCGGGCGGCCCCCACGAGCGCCTGGCCCCAGGAGCCCCCGGATGCTGTGAAGCCGACTCGCACTGTGGACACGGGGCTGCACACAGAGCCCAGCTTGGGGGCTGGGGGCAGTCATGGACCCGTGAGCCGGCCCCGGGCCACAGATGGGTGCGCTCCTCTGCTCCTCAGTGCTGCGGGGTCAAGGTACCCAGCAGCAACCCCGTCCCTACTGGGGTGACAGCTTGGCCCTTCCCCACTTGGGCTCCAGGATGCCCCCTGGGGGTCCTGCCCAGGAGAGCTGGGAACGGGAAGGTGGGGGGCAGAGGGGTGTCTTCAGGGCCTCCTTGGGAGGAAGCACGTTCTCCAGCAGCTATTAGGGAGTGAGTGCCTCGTCCCAGGAGGCAAGCAAGTAAGGGCCAGAGCCAGCTGTCCCCAGAGCAGTGAGGTGTGAGGAGTCTGTGTCAGCCACAGACCTCTGGCTGCAGGGAGAGCCCTGGCGGTGGAGGAGGGGTAGGGGAGGGAAGGGGGGGGCACAGCCCCTGGCAGCAAGGATGTAACCTCTATCCCCACTCAGAGCCCTGGTGTCGGGGACTCGAGGGTCTCCCTTGGGGGCCCAGGCTGCACCCCGCCCAGCATGGGCCCTTGAGTTCCCTCTGTGTCTGATCCAAAGCGTCTGCGGTTGGCATTTGGCGGTCACCAGGTGGCCGTTGGACTTCGGACTCTCAGGCCGGGCTTGTGTTTCACACGTGCCCCAGGGCCCATCTATCCCAGGGGGCACAGGGGGACACGGGGACACTGACCTGTCGGCCAATGAGGCTGGAACCTGGGGAGACGGGCACTGCTGCCCACGGTGCAAAGCGACGGAGAGGCAGAGGCGGGAGGCGGCCGGGAACTCGAACCTCCAAATCCGGAAGCACCAGCACCCCCGGACGTTGTTCCCTGCGGTTCCCTCGACCAGACCCCCTTTCGCTTGAGAGACCACGGCACCCCCACCCCAGTGTCCGGCGGGGAGCCCGGCCTGCAGGGGGGACAGTTCTTGGGGTCCGCGTGGCCTTCATCCAGTTCTCAGCGGGAGCCTGGGGGAAACGGGCACCCACCCCCCACCCCCCTCTCCAGCCCCCAAATGCTCGAGACTGGAGGGAGAGGGGACTGTTGCGTTGCGGGGGTCCCTCGGGACAGTGCGGGAGCTGCTAGTTTTGAGCTGTGCCCACCAGGACCCCTCAATACTCTACACACATCCCCCGTGCCGCCCTGTACCACTCTGTCATCTTGGAGGACCCCGCCCAGGGGGCTTCCAGCAACCACGAGCAGCAGCACATTTGGATTCTGCCAGCCCCTGTGCCCACCCCTCATGGGACACCACGCCCCTCAGACACGGGGTTGGCCACGGTGACCCACACGAGTGCCCGTCTCCTGGGAGGGGGACAGGCCCAGTCCAGGGCCTCTGCCGGGAAAGGGGGTGTCCGGGCAGGCGAGGGGCGCCTCCTCCCACCCCACCCCCGGGGACTCAGGCGTCTGTCCCCCAGAAGTATGCAGCCGGGCACCCCGGGCTTCTCATATGCAATACTCCCTCTGGCTTCTCTTGGGTCCTGGGTCCCAGACTTGGCATTTCCCGACGCCCTCCGGCGACAGTCCAGCCCGCCTGCACTCTGTCCGGGTAGCGCCCTTGCAACTAGACCTGCCCCTACAAAGCTGTATTTTTCTCTGGCTGAGATTAGAGCATATTCCTTGTAAAGTATTTTTCTACGTGGGGTTTTCTTAGGGCTGTCAGGAAGCACAAGGGCCTGGGCCAGGCCCACGGGGGGCTGAGGTAGGGCACACGCAGTCCCCCGGCCCCCACCCCCCAGTGGGCAGGGGGCAATGGTGGCTGGGATTTTTAAAAAATAAACGGATTTAAATGCACCTGAAGTCAGGGCTCTGCTCCTTTATTATGATAATGGGTATCGAGTCATTGGTCTTGGGGCCACACTCGGGGACCACTGCTGGTGGCCTCAGGGGACCATATGGGTGCTGGGCATCAAACAGGCTGGCAAGAGTGTTCCAGATCTCACAGTGGCTTTGAGGCACGGTGCTCCCCGAGTCACTCCTGCCATGCCCACACCCAAAACGGCAGAGGGATCCCACAAAGGGCTGAGCACTAGAGTGAGCGAGCCTGCAGCTCTGAACTGAGGCAGCGGTATATGTGTGTGTGTGTGTGTGTGTGTGTGTGTGTGTGTGCGCGCGCGCGTGCGCGTGTGTGGGCGGGTTGTGATTAAGACAGTGTATGAATGGGAGTGCATGCATGTGTCAGTGAGTGTATTCAAGTGTGTGAATGTGTGTGTGCATCTGTGAATGTGTGTCTGGGAGAAACTGAAACCCGAAAAGCCGGAAACGGGAGGATCTTCAGACAGTCCTGACTATGAACAAGTGGCCCGAATCCTTTTGGCATCTCGAGGTTGAGAAAGGACTCGTGGTCCCACCGGCAGTGGGGGTTGGGGGGACAGTGGATGGGAGAGTTGTTCCACTCACCAGGGACCCTTGGAGGCCCCCAGACCCTCCACCTCCAACCTCAGTTGTTAATCCCCCAAACTTAGGGCACCTGTGCCAACCCGGCCTTCTGGGGGTCCCCACTGCAGTCTATTGTCCCAGGGTCCCACACCCATGCCGGCAGCCTGCCTGCCTCTTGGGGACCCTTGGGCTAGGAAGAGCAGCCTGCTGTGTCAAGTCTTTGCAGTTTCCTGATGGGGAAACTGAGGCTGCGGTGTGCACTCTCCCTGGAGCTGGGGGGCCCGGCAGTGATGAAAGCAGCGGCCCCAGGGCACAAGTCTCATGGGATCCTGAGCCCCTAGACACCCCACTTCCAGAGGCAGGTGACTCAGTTCCCCTCCAAACTGCAGGGTTCAAGAACAGCACGACTCACGTAGATTGGATTTTAAAAAGGAACTGTTTATTTTCATGTTATAAGGTGATTACAAACTCCTCTAAAAAAAAAAAGCCAACATGAATTTAAAATATCGATATACATATTTATCTAAAAAGCGAAGGAGGGAAGGGAAAGACCCTGAAAATACAGGGGTTCATATCATCAAACATTGATACACAAGCATGGATGCGGCACAACTGAATTAGAGGGTCTCCCTCGGGTACAAATGTTCCTCCTCAGACCAGTGTCTTGTGGGTTGATCGGTTTTCCATTTTTTTTATTTTTTATACAAAAGTTGAAAACAGCTTAAAAATATTTTGAAGCTTTTTAAAAAATGTCCTGATGAGCCAGACATTTCTGGAAGGAGGCAGGACCCACGTGCTCAGTTCTCCTTTGTGCTCAGTATAGTCACAGTTGCTTGGGAGTTGGAAATTAATTGGGTTAAATACAAAAATCCAATGGAGCCCAAACTCTTGCCAGATGCGCCATCCCGCGGGGGCCTGGCAGACATCACCGCAGCCCCTGCGAGGGAGGACCCCAACTCTGAAGTGAGACAGGGTCAGTGGGCCGCCCACCGCTCCTGCAGTGGCCCACCCGGACAGGCTCCATGCAAGGCCTTACCGCGGGGGTCCGGGGGCCTGGGGGTGCTGGCTGAGGGGAGCTTGTGTCCCCCCCCCCCCCTTTGTGCTTTTCCTTCTCTGGGTGTGCTGGGCATCGGCACCAGCATCAGGGGCCCGAGGAGTGGGGACCGGCCCGGCCTACTACTGGACCATCACAGTCTGGGCTCCGGCCGGCCTCCCCTCAAATGCTGGGTACAGAGCAGCGCTCTGCATGCTAGGCAAACCAGGCTGCCAGGGTCTCCCGTACATACCAGCCACCATGCCCAAGTCTAGTCCCTACACCAGGCCTCAGTTTCTCCATTGGCTTAAAGTGGTTACGGATGGCCCCCGAGCCTGCGAGAGAGGAGCGGGCGACCGGGGCCCAGCTGAGCGCGGGGCAAGCCAGACAAGAGCCTGCTCCTCTCTGCACTCCGAGGACCCCCTCCTGGGCACAGGTGGGCACCAGGATTCCTGCGTCCCTCCACCCCACCTGGGTGGGGCCTGGAGCACCGGTCACACAATCTCCTTTCTCTAGAGCCAGAAAAGCCGCGCGCCGTTACAGGCTGATGCCAGATGGCCACATTCTGGGGTACACGAGAGCGAGGGTGTGTCCAGGGGGCAGCTGTGACCGGAGACGGGTGTCCCCGGCAGATGTTGGGGGAACCGGGGAAAGCAGCTGACCTTCCACGCCGGGCCTGGCCGGGGTGGGGCGGGGCTGGGTCTGAATCTTTGGTCTAGAATTTGGTGGCCTCCTGGGCCGTGTCCAGAATGATGCTGGGTGCTGCCAAGGCCAAATCTTGTAGCCTTCCGCCCCCGGGGGGTGGAGGGGGAGCCAGAGACCACAGTCAACCGGCCCAGGCCCCCTGATGCCCATTCGCCGCACGCCCTCGCTCACGCGTCCCGACTCCCCCATCTCTGACAGCGGTTAGTTGACTCAAGTTCCATCAGACAAAGGAAAACACGTCACATTGCTACTTGGTAAAATGCGGGAGAACCACGACGCTGCAATCCAATCAGCGGCGACCATAAATACTCGGGGAGCTGGGAAGGGGGGAGGGAGTGGGGGGCTGGGGAGGGGTGGGGGCGGGGGAGGGGGTTTGGCAGAGGACACGCTTTGGAAAAGTGACACGTGAGTGTTTGCCAAAGACAAGGGATTCCAAGTCCGGCCGCCCTGGCGGGGTGGGGGGCGGAGGCGCCGAGGCCTCCTCCTCCCTGTCCCGGATTTGGGGGGCGTCCAGGATTCCGGGAGCCCCGGGTCTGAGCCCCGTGGCTGGACTTCCCGTTCCAAGCCCCCGAGGGGCCCTGAGCGCCTTCTGGTTTCGGGGTCTTGTTTTCGTGGCGCCTCTGAGCTTGGAAGGGACGGTTGGTTGATTGGCAACTGAGGCCGGATCCGCGGAGCTGGGCTGCTGGGCGCGGGGGGGGCGGCTGCTCTGTCCACGGCTCTCGGCCGAGCCGGTTTTGGGGTGCCAGCCCCCACCCCCGAGCAATCCTACCCTTTCTGGATGGCCTGCCCCTGCCGCTGCAGCGCTGTTTGTTTGACACAGGTGAGAGCGCAGGTAGACAAAGGGCGATCCCGCACCCGCCACGGCACCCGAGCTGGGGGAGCCCAGGAGGGGGTCTTGCCCCCAACATTGCAGATGCCACCAGCCCCCAAGGAGGCTCCTGAGCTCACTGGCTTGGAGACTGGGCGACCTTGGGCTGGGGACGGGGGGGTGGGGGGGGGGTGGGGGGGGGGAGGGCGGAAGTGTTCACCCAGTGCTGGCCGGAAATTTCCTGGCCTCTGGGAGTCAGGGAGAGGGGAGGGGAGAGGAGCAGCCTGTGGTGGTCCCCAGCCCCGGGGTCCACTGCTCACCCTCCTCGAGCACCTTCTAAAGAAGATGCTCCAGGCCGCTGAGGGGGGACCGGCCTGCAGGGCCCCGAGTGCCACGCATGGCCCAGGAGGAAAGGGTCCGAGGGGCCGGTGTTCTCCCAGAGGGCACCCTGGGCAGGACAAGACCAGAAGCTCATTACCCTGTGCCACCCTGGGGGATGGAAGGGGGTCGTGGGATGACCCCCCACCCTCTTGGACACCCCCGCGAGTGCCCCTCGTCTCCAAGGGTGGGGGGTTTCCTGCACACACTTCGAAGCCAGCTTCTCGGCGTTCGCCTATCCACTTTGGCATGTCCTTGGCTAGGACCATCTCCAGCCCTGCGGGGGCGGACAGGGACCTCTTCACTGGTCGAGTTTCTCCCGCCCCGGGTTTGGGAAGAGCCGCGCCTTCAGCCGGGCCCTGCTGTCCCCGGAAATTTCTACCCTGTGCTATTTTTTTTTGTCGGGGGGCTGGTGGGGGGCCGGGGGTTAGGGGGGCAGACCTCTGCCAGCTATACAAGCACCGAAGAATTGCTTTTGAAAATGAGATCTATTGCTGGCGAGATTGATTCAAGTGGTCAAAGTGATGACAACCAAGTGTCTACAGAGTCCTATGGTAAAAAAAATACAAAGAAAATTTGACCGAGTTCCCATAAAATACATCTAATTCAGTACAAATCTCCGCCTCACCCCCAGGGTCGGACACCACCGGTCCGTGGGGTGGGAGGTGGTTTTTTTTTTTTCTTTTTGTTTGTTTGTTTCATTTTGTTTTTGTACAAAATATTTCCCCCTGCCCAAATGGAAACAAAATACACATACTCACGATACCACACACATACACACAGTAACATTTTCTGTGACAATTAAAAAAAAAAAATCCTAGTGCAAATATAAAGCTCTGTAAACCTGGTCCTAGGAGAATCTAATGTTAGTAAACAGCGGGGAAGCAGCCCCGGGCGCGGGGGGGAGGGGGTTCACATCATGGTCTCCACGATGATGTGGGTGGGCTTCATGAGGGTGCCGTTCATGGTCAGGGTCTTGTGGGAGCCCACGTAGGGCGTGGCTCCCTCCTGCTCCACTGCCCAGCGGTTGGGCTCCCGTGGGGTCAGCAGGTACTTGAGTCTCTGCGGGAGGAAGGGACAGGGCCATCGTGAGCGTCCGCCGCCTTCTCGGACCCTCCCTGGTCAGGGCCTGGACCGGCTCCCCGTGATCCCCCAAAGCTGGGTCCTGGCCTTCAGTGGCCCGCGCCATCCCCGGGCTGACCACTCCCTGGCCTCCCCCTGCCACTCTCACAGGTCCCCCCTGCCCCAGGGACACCCGGGCAGAGCCCCCAGGGGTGCAATCTCCCTCCCATCCCTTGCGTCTCGGTTGAACCTTCTGACCAGCGAGGAGTCCGAAGGCTGTAGGACAGTTGTGCCTTGCCTGGGTGGGCTCTGTCCACCCAGTGGACAACCCTGTGAGCGGGAGGACCCTGAGGGTTCGCCCAGGTCCACACGGCTTCGCTTCAACCCCGCATTCCCGAGTTGCCCCCGGGAAGCGGCGGGCTTCATTCCCTGAGCCCCTTGGTGGCACTGGCCACACAGCCCCTTGAGGCCACTGGCTTGGAGAGTCCCTTCGGGGCTGCAACAGTGACCGTGACCCCCCTCCCAACCTCCCTCCCTGGAAAAAATCGCCCTAAAGGGCCAGGCAGGAAGCCACCCGGAAGGCTCCATCTCTTTGCTCAATCCGTCTGGATTGTTCTGTGTGACCAAGCATCAAGCCCAGGGCCTGGCATGTGCCTGGCAAACTGCTGGCCACTGAGCCATAGCCAGAGCCCCGTCTGCGCCCACAGTGCCAGTACAGTGGGTCAGGGGGCGGGGGGCACTGGTTGGGCACCTGCTGCCCAGGGCAGTGGGCAGCTCCCGGGACACACAGCAGGGACCGAGCAGTTCTGACCCTGGGCAGTTGCGAGGTCCAATCTGGCCTGTTCTAAAGGTTGGGGTGCGACTCCCTCCTCCCATCCTTTCCTCCCCCAAGCTGTGACCAAACCTCTGAACGGGGGCTGGGAAAGGGGACACCCCCCCCCCCCCAGACCCTCTGCTGTGTTTCCGGGAAATCTTTTCACTTCTGGGTGGCTCGGGGACATTCTGGAAGGTTCCAGGGAGGGGCGAGGGCAGGCCTGCGCCCAGAATGGCAGCATTTGAACAAAGGCCAGGCCCGCGCAGGGGTCGGGCTGACTCCTGCCGGGTCCCTGGTGTCCACTGAGAAGACAATGGGCCTCCCCCGCTGCAGGAGCCGCCCAGGCGTCCAGGCTCCAAGCTGCCCCTCGGGCCCGGGCCTCCTTCCTGCTGCGTCCAGCGCCTCCAGGCCTTCCCCACTGCGGAAACCCACCCAGCCCAGCCCAGGGCAAGCCGGGCCCAGGACATCCTGGCTCCAGATTTTTAAGAGAATAACAATAAAAACGGCCCAGAACAAAGCCCTGAGCCGAGTCCTGGAGCCGGCCCAAACCCCAAGGTTAAGGGAGATTCTAAGAAAAGGATTTCTTGGAAAGCGCCCCAGCCGCCGGCAGGCCTGGAATGTCCAGCATTGTTGGGGGGTTCCTCGGGGGCTGTGGGGTGCTGCCAGGGCAGGACGCCCCCCCAGCTCCACTGTGGGCAGAGTCGAGGTGTGTGGGCCCCCTGGGCGCAGAGCCCTAGCCGGGGGCCCCCAGACACCCCGTCGTCACCCCGGCCCTCTGCTGGGCCCAGATGCCAAAGGCCTTGACACTCCCGTGTCCTTCTCGACCAGCCAAGTGCCTCCCGCTCCCCACTCTTTCTGGGGGTCCCCTTCCGCTCCCTGCACTCCTATCACCCCCAGTCACACCGAGGGCACTGTCGGGGGCCCCCGCGCTCACCACGAGGAACGGCCCCTCCGTCTGCAGCAGGCGGACGACCATGACCAGGGGGATACACAGCATGGACGACAGGGCCAGGCTCCAGCCCAGCCCGATGGCCCAGTCCGGGTACTTGTACACTTTGTTGTAGGTCAGGGGCACGTACTTGGCGAGAGAGAAGATGAAACATCCCTGTGGAGGGGAGGAGGGGGGGTGGTCAGGGGGTGGTCAGCCCAAGTGCTCCCTGCAGGGGGGAGGTGAGGGTTCGAGAGGGTCCGAGACCGCGAGGGCTGCAGTGCTCGTCTTACCCCACCCGGTGTGGGGAATGTGCTGGTCACTCCTTTTCCTGCCCCGGGCAGGGAGGGGACCCCTAAGACCGTGTAAGGGTCCCAGATGTGAGGCAGCCAGACAGCCTGGGCTCGGCCTCTGGGCAAACTTTTATTTATTTTTTCCTTTTTGGGCCACCCCCGGTGATGCTCAGGGGTTACTCCTGGCTCTGCACTCAGGAGTTACTCCTGGTGGTGCTCCAAGGACCATATGGGACGCTGGGAATCGAACCCGGGTCAGCCGCGTGCAAGGCAAACGCCCTCCCTGCTGTGCTATCACTCCAGTCCCTCTAGGCAAACTTTAACATCTGGAACAGCATCCCCGGACCAGGTGTGGGTTATCCACCAGGGGAAAAGAACTTGGGGGGGGGGGCAGGAGGCTCTGGAGCAGGGAGTGGGGGGCGGTCAGGGAAAGCCAATGGACAGTAGGGGAGGGGAGAGAAGGCACAGAGAAGGCACTAGGTCTCTGGCATGAGTCAGCCAGGCCAAGCGACACCCCTTTTTCTGCCCCTGTGGGTGAGGCTGGGCCACCTCACTGCAGCCTGGACAGCGGCTCACTGCTGACCTGTGCAATTCAGCGGAGAGAGGAAGAAACCCAGGCTCTGCGGGACAGGGGCTCAGTGAGGGCTGGATCCCGGGTAGCAACCTCGCCCTGTACCTCAGCGGCTGCCTCTGTGGGGAGGCCTCCACCCTTCACAGTCCTGCTAAGTGACCACAGCGACCCCCAACAATGCTCTGCCCGCTCCAGGTTGGCACCCCTCCCCCCCCAACAAAGTCCCGCTGGTTTTAGAAAAATTTTTGGTTTTGTTGCAGGGATTTGGGCCAGTGCTCAAGGCTGACTCTCGGCCCTGTGCTCAGGCATGACTCCTGTGGGCCCGGGGACCAGCGGGGATGCTGGGGATGGAGCCCAGGTGAAGCGTTAGTAAAAGGCAGTGCTGACCTACGTGGAGGGCCGGGGCCTTAGGGCGGGGGACCCGCATGTCCCACAGGCCTGCTTCCAGCCGACCAGGAGCCGGCCCTGGGGGTGTCCTCGAGAGCCAACACTGATAGGGGGACTACAGGGGCACATGGACAGCGAGGAAGGGGGCTTCAGGGCGTATCTCTGCCTGGAGGTGCTGGGCCATGAAACTTTTTCCTTTTTGGGCCACACCTGGCGATGCTCAGGGGTTCCTCCTGGCTCTGCACTCAGGAATTACTCCTGGCGGTGCTCAGGGGACCCTATGGGATGTTAGGGATCGAACCCGGGCATGCAAGGCAAATGCCCTCTCTGCTGTGCTATCGCTTCAGCCCCTGGAGCTGCTGAACACCCCCAAGATCAGCTACCTCGTCCCAAGGCCCAGGACTCTGGTTTCCTAATCAAAGATCCGGAAGGTTCTCCAGAGTTCTGGAGGGGCCTAGAGGATGGTTCACTGCTCTGGCCTGGCGCCCCTGAACTTTGCCGCTGCCGGACCCACATTCTTCTCATTGAAAGCTCTGCATGGACCCAGCCAGCTCCTCTACCTTGCCATAATGTGCTCCCCACTCCTCCCCAAACGTGCTCTCACTCCTCCTCCCACAGAGGCACCTCGGGGTGGGCAGCGTGGCAGGCACGGGTCACAGGGGACAAGCTGCAATCACGGAGAAGAGGAAGAGGAGGACTTACAACACAGAGAACCGGAGTGACCACGGCCCAGCTGTATTTCATCCAGGGCCCGGGCCGGTAGCCGATCATGTCTTCAATACCGTCATAGAAGTTATCAGTGCCTGCGGGAACGGGAACGGAGGTGAGGCGGGCTCCCGGGGGCCTCCTCCAGGCCCGTGTCGCTCCCTTCTCAGACCCACACCCCCGACCCTGGCATGGCCAATCCACAAACGGGCCTTTCCTGGGCCCCCGAGCAGGAACTAGGGACACAAGGAATTCCTGCCCCGCAGCCTCAGCATGGGGGTCATTTGTGGGGGACAGGGGCATCCAGGGGGGAGGAGTCCAGGGAGGGAAGGCCTTGGTGTTCGGCTCAGAGGAAGGCCCCCTGGGATTCACTTCCTGAAGCAGCTAAACAAAGACCCCAGAGCGAGGATGGGAGGCGACCGACACTTACCATAGATCCAGGCAATAACAAAACATTCAAAGAATGCAACCCACAAAAGGCATACACCGCTAGCTGCATAGTAGTCAAAGAGTTGAAACACATACATGCCACCCTGTAGGGGAGTGAGAAAGAGAGAGACGGTGATAAGTCAGGTCATAGTACATCCCCTTCAAATACAAAGAGCACTGGCCAGTCAATAAGAAACAGACACCCCCCCCCCCAAGAGGAAGATGGGCAGAAAACCAGATGTAGGTCAACATTCCAATTTGGGGGTCTGGAGTGATAGTATAGTGGGTAGTGCACTTGCCTGGTATAAGGCCAGCCTGAGTTTGATCCCTGGCATCCCATATGGTCCCCCAAACCCTGCCGGGAGTGATCTCTGAGCAGAGTCAGGAATAAGCCCTGAGCACTAGTGTGTGTGACCTCCAAGCACCCCAACCCCGCCTGCCCCAATGCCATATCTAACAAGGTTTAAAACACACAGACAAGGGACTGGAGCGATAGCACAGCAGGTAGGGTGTTTGCCTTGCACGCGGCTGACCTGGGTTCAATTCCCAGCATCCCATATGGTCCCCTGAGCACCGCCAGGAGTGATTCCTGAGTGCAGAGCCAGGAGGAACCCCTGTGAGTCGCCGGGTGTGACCCAAAAAACAAACAAAACAAAACAAAACACATAGACAAGAGGACCAGAGAGATAGTTCAGTGGTTAGGGCGCTTGTTATGCACACAGCCGACCTGGGTTCAATCCCCGGCATCCCGCATGGATCCCTGAGCACTGCCAGGAGTGACTCCTGAGTGCAGAGGCAGGAGCAATCTCTGAGCATCACTACCTGTGGGCCCCCTTCCCACTCCCCAAAATATATATACAAGCAAACAAGAAAAACAACAGCAAAATGTGACCTGCCATAGCACAGAAAGAAAAATGGCCGAGAAGCTCTTCACAGGAGCCCCGTGGTCCCTGCCACGTGCCCCAAGGGCAGCAGAGGCGGCACAGCTCACGGGAGGACCTGGGGGAGGGTAGTCCTGACAGACACCTCCAGCAAAGCGCTTGTTTAGTTTTTCTTCTTCTTGGGTCACACCTGGCGATACTCAGGGGTTACTCCTGGCTCTGAGTTCAGGCGTTACTCCTGGCAGTGCTTGGGGGAGCATATGGGATGCTGGGAATCGAACCCAGGTCGACTGCGTGCAAGGCAAACGCCCTCCCTGCTGTGCTATTGCTCCCACCTCAAAGTGCTTGTTTTCTGTCAGACCAGTGGGCTGCAGGGCGGAAGCGGGTCGCCAGTGTGACCCTTTGCTGAGGACTCTGGGGAGAGGCCAGAGTCGGGTCCTGGGGGGCGGGGCGCCACCCGCTCCTCTCACCGGCTCCCTGTTGGCTCCTTGGCCTGTGGCCACACAGTGCTCACCCCCCGGCCCCTCCTCACTGCACTCCCTTCAACCCCCCCCCTCGAACAGGGCGGAGCCCATGCACGGAGCTGTTGGCTTGGTTGGTGAAATGTCACCAGGAGTGACCCCGAGCCCCTGAGCACTCTGTGGAAGCCCCCAGCCCCAATATAGCTAAAACTAATGGGGCTGGAGCGATAGCACAGCGGGGAGGGCGTTTGCCTTGCATGCCGCCGACCAGGTTCGGTTCCCAGCATCCCCTAGGGCCCCCTGAGCACCGCCAGGAGTAACTCCTGAGTGCAGAGCCAGGAGAGACCCCTGAGCATGGCCGGATGTGACCCAAAAAGGAAAAACAAAACAAAAATCAAAGTGTGGGTTGGGAGGTGCTCCTCACGGCCTGCCACAGACACGGGCGGCCAAGCTATCGGGACGTCAGGTCCCCTCCACGTCAGGAGCATACATGGGCCAAGCAGCTTGTTCAAGGGGCTCAGTCGAGCCCCCCTGCCAGGCCAACCTGTGCAGGGGAGGGGGCCGAGGGGAGCAGGTGCCACCGCTGGGTGCCCATGGGGAGCTGGACACACCTGAGTGGGAAGGACTTGGGAGCTGGGGACCCTCCAAGGAAGCAGAGCTGGGGCGGAAGCCACGTGGAAGCCACCTACCTCCGTCACCATCATCAGCCCCAGCAGGTAGCTGACGCTACAGATGAGGGCGATAAAGATTTCCCGACGGTAACCCTTCCTTAGGAAGGACGGGTAAAGGTCAACCAAGGACGTGATCTGTCCTTCGACTTCAACAAACTGCGGGAGAGAGGGGAGGGGCGTGAGTGGCGGGCGCGAGACCCTCCCCCGCCTCCCCGGCCCCGCACCGGGGTGGGTGGGGGTCTGTGCCCAGCACAGCCCGTCTCTGCCCCTCATCAGGGTCCCTCCCTGCACCCTGGCTGGAGCCATCGTCGGTCTTCACGCATCTGGGCCTCAGTTTCCCCACTGATTCAGGAGCCCAGGAGACCTTTCTTGTAGCACTGGGGATCGAACCATGATACCCACAACATGTAAGATATGTCTGTCTGTCCGTCCCTCTGAGCCCCTTCACCTCGGGGTCTCGCCTGGCTGTCACCTGCACGCCAGGCTCTCGGCACAGGGGGCCAGGGGGGTCGTGTGTGCTGCTGCCCGTGGTCCCAGTGCCCCTTCCTCGGCTCCCAAGGCCTCCTGGGAAGGGCCTGTCTTCCTACTGAGGCTCCGGGTGACCCCCCCCAATCTTGCCACCCCACCAACCACCCTGGACACGGGGCCACAGTGGCATAGAGGTCACCACTTCCTTAAGGGTGGCCCAGGCTCCGTGTGGTCACAGCCGTCACCAACGGAACCAGCGCTGACCAAGGGGCCCAAATGTGGCACATGTCTACTGCACATTCTGGAAGTGAAACTGGGGCCGAGAGGTTTGTGAACGGCCACGGCCATGCAGCCCTGGCAGGGGAACTGCAAGCCGCCCTGCTGTCTGGGGGCGGGGGTGGGGGGGTCGGAGCTGCCCCGAGTGAGCCGTAGGAGTGCGAGAAACGTGGCCTGGTGGGCAGAAATGAGAGGCGATCCAGACTGGAGTAAGGGGGGTCCACAAAAGGGGGTGACCATCTGACCCTGGGTCAGGAACCTAAGTAGCCCCCACAATGGAGCCGAGCTAAGGCCTGGGGTCACCGAGAGCCATGGCCCAGCCCAGGCGACCGTGAGGGGCTTCTCCGAACCTCAGCTCCACCCCTGCAATACGGAGCAAGCCTGCCTCTGCCGTGAGCGGGCCCTGCGGGAGGTTCCCAAACCTTCGGTCACAGGGACCAGGGTCGGGTACGTGGGGGCTGGCACGGGTGAGCTGTGGGCAACTCGGGGGCAGATGTCTGCTTCTACGTGGGTGACACCCACACGAAACACGGGCACAGTGGCCCGAAAGCCCAGAGAGGGCCCCCAGACAAGCACCTGGGCGTCTGCATCTGCACGGGAAGAAGCTCCTGGCACCCCAAAGCGTCCGGCTTCGACTCCTGCTTCCCCGAGCACCACCAGGAAGGGGCTCCCAGGGACTCAGCCCGTGCGGCTCCCCCAGGTAACATGGTCAGGTAAAATGGTCAGTGGCCTGCAGACAACCCCACAAGCCCAGAAGGCCGGGCTGCAGTCAGGCCCCAGGGAGCCCCCCCAGACCGTCCCCTGTATACCCCACTCCCACAGGAAAGAAGCCAAGGATGGGGGCAGGCTGGGCCAGGACCGCAGGACCCAGACGTTCCCCTTCCGAGCTCAAAACCCTCCCCTGTCCCCGAGGGTCCCCACCGACTGCTCTGAGCTGCGGGCAGAGTGGGAACCCACGGCTCAGGGGACACTCCCCACGGCCCCTCCCCCTGGCCTCTTGCGGACAGAAGCCTAATGAATAACCCCCTGGCCAGCTCCCGAAGCCGGTGCTACAGCCCCAGAGGCCTATTCCGGGCCCGAGATGTCATTCTTCATCATTTATTAACTCTCTGTTTTTGTTTCTTTGCTTTCACTTGGCTCTCTGGAAGGAGTTAGAAGGCCGTTTGCTTCGGGCCTCCGAAGGCCGGGCTCATTAAGGAGGAATGAAGAGTGACACGACCCAGTCCTTAGGAGCTCGGGGGCCCCCGACGGCCGCTGGGACTCCGCTCTCGGCCTCCCACATGTTTTCATTCCCCTCCCGGCTAATGGGCCCCTCGCCTGCCAACTCCTCTGCGGCTCTTGACCCCGCTGGCTCCTCTCGGCCTGACCTTCTGAGAGCCATTCCCACCCGTCCACCCGGTTCCGGTCCAGCTGGCCGCACCCTGGACATTGGCCGGGAGGTGAGGCCCCCGGGGTGGACGCGGAGATCACGGGGCTCCCCTGCTGCTGAACAGACGAGCACGAGGAAGGGGCAGAGGCTCGTTCCAGAGCGACAGCCCAGAGGACTTCCCGGCACGTGGTCCCCGAGCCCTGGAGCAGAGCCAGGCGTCATCCCTGAGCACTGCTGGGTGTGAACCCCCCCAAAACAGACAAACAAAAATCCAGACCCCCAGCACCCGACCCTCAGTCTGAACTTGGCCACGGTCCCCGGGGGTGAGCAGGCCAGCTCACACCGTGTCTGGGTTGACACCTGCACCCCGCCTGGGTCCATCCACACCACGGTCTGGAGAGGCCAACCAGGAGTCTCCCCTTTGCCCCCCAGCACTACAGAGAGGCCAGGAGGAAACTGAGGCTCAGGAGGGAGCGAGTGAGTCTGGCTGCCGTGTTAGCCCAAAGCCACACGCTGCCCCTCAGCAAATGCCGGGAAGAGGAACTGGGGTGGGGACCGGAAATCGGGGCCCACAGAGCTCAGGGCTGGTCAGAGCAAGGTCCCAGCCCCCAAGCACCGAGTTAGGGGGATCACTTCCCTCTGGCAGACACTACACACCCAGGACAGCTGCCCCCGAGTCGTGGCCCCACAGGATTAATTCTGGGGCTGCTGGGTCGCTCTGGGCTGCTGTCACTCCGGCTCAGCTCTGGTCCCCTTAATTCCCGTCGGGGACTCCAGGGGAGGCAAGGCTGGCCCTCGGGGAAGGGGCGCCCTGTCCCGCGGCTGGAGGTGGTAGGCAGGGTCCCCCCACATGGGCAGAGCCCCCCACGCCCGCCCCGTGCCTACCTGGCTATCCAGTCCAAGCAAGAGAAGCATAATGAAAAAAAGGATGGACCAGAAGGTGGGCAGCGGCATCATGGTCACGGCTTTCGGGTAGGCGATGAAGGCCAGGCCAGGACCTAGAGGGAAGAGAAGCGGGGGGCAGGGGGGGCCGTCACACAGGGGCCTCAGGGCGGAGACGGGCCTGAGCTCTGCCCTGGGGGAGGCCAGGCCTCTTGCACGCCGGGGCTCGGGAGGGGGGGGGGGTCCCCCTGGTTAAGCACATGTCTCCTGGGCGGCAGCAGAGCGGCCCCCCCACACCCCAGAATCAGACGCACCCCAGCTGGGAACGGAGCCAGGCCTCGATCCCCGGCCCGGGGAGACGGGACCCCACACCAGTGCACCCCCAGCAAGGCGGGAAGGTTCTGGTCATCCGCCCAGGGCCTCGTGAGCGGGGAGAAGTAGGGAGACCAACGCACACGACCCCGCCCCAACCTCCAAGGCTGACCACAGGCCCCACTGGGCCCAGAGCTTGGCCGCTGACCACTGAGCCCACCATGGGCCTTCCTGTGCCTCAGTTTCCCTATCTGACACGGTCACTCCCAAGGGGCATCCTGGGAGGCCAGAGGGTGGCCGGGTCCTACAGAGGGCGCTGGGGGCAGAGGCTTCTCCTGCCCGAGAGGCGAGAGGCCACGAAAGCCCCCCTCCCCCCCACCAAAGTGAGAAGCACAAAACCAACAACGACAAGACCAAACCCAGAGCCCAGAGCCCGAGACCCCGGGGTCTCTGGCATGACAGCAGGAACAGGTGGAGCCCTTCTGGTTCAGAGGGAACCACTGGCCCCAGCTCCAACCTCTGTACCTCAGGCAGGGAAGCCCAAGAGAGCTGGGGGCAGGGCCCGAGGCGGCCCAGGACATTGGGTCTCCCCCTCTCGGTCCTGACCCCATGAGGAACAGCATCCCGTCAACTGTGAGATGGATGGAAAAGGGGCCCAGCCCACTCTCCGCTCTCCCGTCCGCCCACCAGGGACCCCAAGCTCATTCCTGCACCTGGGCTGGCCTTCCTCACTCCCTTCCAAGTGCCCAGTGACCGAGGGCCGGCCCCGCAGAGGGCCACACGCCCCCATACCCGCAGCCCCCAGCAGGCGCGCTGACCCTGTCCTGGGTTAAGAGGTCCAAGTGCGCATGTCAGAGGGAGGACCACCCTGGAGTAAACGACAACCTTGGGGACAGGCGGAGGATGAGAACGGAAGTCACCGGGAATGGGGATGCGGCCACTAATGTTCCCGGTACCCGGGTGCCCCCGACGGCCAGCACAGGCGGGGCGAGGGGCATCCCAGCCTCTGCACCATCCCCACTGCCCATGCCCAGGAGGACACAGCTATTCCCAGAGACCTCCTGGGTCCCGACTGTCCCGCCCTAAGGCGGGGACAGTGTCTAAGGTCGGCTGTACAGCCAGGGCAGGGGCCCGTGCTCTAACTGGGCATGCGGGAAGTGGGGCACTGTCCTGCAGGTCATGGGGGTCCTGCCAAGACCCCAGCTCTGCCTCTGCCCAGCCCGGGTCTCCCCATCTGTCAGCCACGGTCCCCCAGACCCCCAGAGCTGGGGTTCTATGGGGTGAAGTTCCAGGGACTCCCGACCCTGTAGGGGTGCTCCCCGCCCCGGTCCTCCGTCCCAGGACCCCCCACTGGGTGGGAGGCGTGGGGGAGGATCGGGTGCGCTAAGGACGCCTTCCAAGCCCCCTGGTGCCCCCCTGAAGGGTGGGGAGACGCGGGGGGGTAAGGGGGGCCGTCAAAGCAGCTGCTGAGAGCATCCGTGGAAAATGCTAGAACAGTGGCTCCTACGACACTGCTGTTCCGAGGCCCTCAGGCCCTCGAGGTGAAAGGCCTCCCGTGTCAGATTCCAGAACCTTCCTGCTGGTGCTCCAGCACTGCAACCTGGGAGCAGGTCCTGTCACTTTAAGGCCCCTCCGCTGTTGGCAGGTGACCCTCCCCGAGGGGCGCGGGGGTCCCTGTGCTTCTCCCTGGCCCCACTGTGAGCGAGCGAACCATTGGTGGGGAGGAGGAGGAGGTCGATTCGCTTGGAGCGAGCATCGGGAGCCAAGTGCGACACACAGAAACCAGAGCTGAGACAGCGACGAGGTGGCCCGCGGGTGCTGACCCCGGCCCGAGATGGCAAGCGGTTTCTGTCGCTGAAACCAGCAGTTCCCCGGGGAAAGGAAGGGGAGGGTGGGGTGGGGGAAGACCACACAAAAGTCGCTCGAGAGCCCCCAAACCCCGTGGTTTCTGCCGCCCCTTGGGCCAAACTGGAACAAAAGTCTTTAAAATGTCGCTTTTGAGACTCGGGGGCACATCTTGTTGGGGGGGGGTCCATTTCGGAAACCAAGCTCGTCCCCCCCCCAGCCCCCTGGGGGGTCTGGCTTCATGCCTGCAGTACTCGGCTTACACACTAGGTGGCAGTGCCCACCACCACTGCCACAAGACCACCGTACCTGACTCAGCCACATCAGCAATGTCCACCCCTTGCTCTTGTGCCATGAAGCCCAGGATGGAAAAAATTGCGAAGCCAGACACAAAACTGGTACCACTGTTCAGGCATCCCAGCAGCATACAGTCCCTAAGTTACACATATGTCAGGGAGCAAGTTAATTCACAACACAAGGAAGCCAGGCTCCCTACTCTTTTTCTTTCTTTAATCATCATTTCTAAGCTGCACCAGGCCCCCTGGCGCGACACTTGCCTGTACGAGTTGTACTTGTATTTGTTGTAGCTCCCCAGCGAGGTCATGGCCCCCAGACAGATGGCGTAGGAGAAGAAGATTTGGGTCCCAGCATCGATCCAGACCTGGGGGGGGGCAGGGGCGGGAGAGGCGAGAGAGAGAAAAGAAGGGGCCATGAGGGCGGGCTTCCTGGAGGCGGCAGCAAGGACTCTGGCCTCTGTGCTCACAGGTGGCCAGCCTGCCCTGGCCTCCAAGGGCACTGCCAGGGATGGATCCTGGGCTGCAAGGAAACCCAGGAGGGGAGGGAAGAGGACCCCAGGTGTGAGGTGTTGGGGCGAAAGTGCTGGGATTGTGCGGCTGGCCCCTGGCTCACAGCAGGGGGGGCCAGTCAGGATGCCCCGGGCTCCTGTTTCCCACCTCGAGCTGGCCCCAGTGCCCAGCCCCACACAGCTCTTTTGTGGGCTGATGGGTCAGATTTCAGCCCCGGGCAGACACGGGTGGCTCAGGGCCGCTGCAGCTCCTGGGAAGGGGTGGGGGGTGGGCATTCCTGGTGGATTATGCAGACAAAGCGACTCTCCAGAACCTTCCCCAGGAAGCTGCTCTCCAGCTGTCCAGGACTGCTGGCCAAGCCCAGGGAGTACAGCGGGAGGAGGCAAGTCCCGGGGGGGGTCTGTACCAAGCGACCCAGAACCCCCCTATCCCGGCCCCCAAGGAGACACTCACTGGCCCGTCGCATTCCCAGGTCGGGCTCTGAATCCCACCCGCAGGCCCAGCCCAGCGACACCCCCTGTGCCGGGCAGAGCCAGCCCGGGGAGGCGGGTGGCCGCAGGCCCGTTTCTGCTCCCTTTACCTGGCAGGGCGCCCGCACGAGGCGCCCTAATTGGTGGCCTCAGGGGTCCTCCTCGAGCAAAGATACACAGCCAGCCGGGAAGGCCCCGAGCCCGGCGCGGCACCCGGTGGAAAAGTACCAGCACCCACGGCCCGGCTGGCGCCGTGCACCCAGGAAGCCCCCACGGGGCTCCCCCACCCCTCCCGGCCCCGCCGTACCTGTGGGTCCTTCAGGCGGGTGATGTCGGGGTAGAGATAGAATTTGATGCCGGCGCCCGCGCCGGGCAGCGTCAGGCCCCGGACCAGCAGCACCAGGAGCATGGCGAACGGGAAGGTGGCCGTGAAGTAGACAACCTGGGCGGGAGAGAGTGTGTCAGAGGACAGAAGGCGCGTGGCGAGGCCACTCGGCCCGCAGTGCTCACAGACTTGGCCCCAGCACGGGAGGCAGGTGGGGGTCACTCTGGCTGTGTGAGCTTGACACAGGCGCTGACCCTCTCTGGGCCCCAGTCACAAGACCACCTGGGGCCAGCTTGGGGTCTTGTGTGGACACAGGCACAGGCTTTGCTGGGAGCACATGGAAGCTTCTGGAAGGACAGGAGACAGGCAGCACCTGTCCTTCCTTGGGCCACGGGCGTCCCAGACGGGGCCGGGCCGCGTGGCATGTGTGTGCTGGGGACCCAGGAGGCACCTGCCCCTCCCCTCCATCCCCAGGGCGCATCTCCACAGAGCCTGCTGGGGCCCAGCCTCTCCTGCGGATTTTTCCATCTTCCCTTCTGGGCAGGAAGTTTCCAGAAAGGGTCTCTGTGCCCAGAGTCGGGGAGGGAGTATAAGGGGCCTGGCGGAAGGGCCGGTGGCACCATGCCAGGGTGGGTACCGCACCTCGTCTGCTCTGCGGGGACCCCACGGGGCTGGATCCTGGGCGGTCACCAGCCCTCTGAACAGGAACGGCCGGACTGGGGGTCCCTGAAGGGTGGCCTGGCCCCACAGCCCACCAGCCCAGCCCCTGTGGATGAAGCACTTACTGCGTGCCCGGAGCGGCTCCCGGTGGCCCTGCATGGAGGGGCTGGGCCGGGCAGCGTGAAGGGAGGGCTGGGACGCCCCATGCTGCCTCGGTTCCCTTGCCTGCCTGTCTGTGTGTCTGTCTGTGGTCTATCCATCTGTCGCTGTCCAGATGCCCAGGTCTTTGTGTCTGTCTGTGCCTGTGCCCGTCCATCTGTCCGTGCGCTCCCACACTGGACCCTGGGCAGGTCTCGGCAGCACTCTCCTGCTCACCCCACAGCCGTGCTCCTGGGCCTCAGTTTCCCCCGCCACCCTCCCTGTTTGCCAGGATGGGGCAGCTCAGGAAGCAGCCAGGGAGCAGGACAGGCCTAACCGCGGCTCCTCCTTTCCTGAGGGCAAAGTGTCCGCGAGTGGCCTCTCCACCGGGACCACGGCCATGCCTGGACTCAAACAATGGGCGCTGGCAGCAGGTGCCCCCCGGAGCGGCCACTTCAAAGCCCCCAACACTGGCCGGGTCCAAGACTTCATCTGGGACACAGGGCATGGGGGGACAACCCTCCAGGTCTCCACACGCTGGACTCCCCCTGAAGTCTCCCATGGGGACACCCGGGGCAGGACCTTGGTGCCCCTCCAGCCACTGAAGAGGTGGGGCCCACCACCTACACTCCCAGAGGGGGAAACTGAGGCCCAGGAGGGAGCTGTCCCCTGCCCAGAGCTTGGTCCAGCGCCTTTGGCCACAGAGAGTTTCACTGTGTGTGTGTATATGTGCGTGTGTGTGAGTGTGTTGTGTGTTTGTGTGTGTGTGTGTGCATGGTGTGTGTGCGTGTGTAGGTGTGTGTGCATGTGTGTGCGCGTATGTGTGTGCGTGTGTAGGCGTGGTGGTCGCCCCCCTACCCGCAGCCAGCACCCCTCTCAGAGCATGCCCCGCCCCCGGCCTCGCTGGAAACCCCCCCCCCTTGTTTTGCAGGTTCCTCGGTCTGTGGACGAGCCCCTGAGAACGTGGCTCTCAACTTTTCCGTGACTCCCCCGGGAGCCTCGGGGGAGCGGCTGGTGCCAGGCGCGCCAGTGGCCCCGGGCAGCGGCTCGGCAGGCCCCGCCACGGCCGCGGTATTTTTCCACTCCTGCTGGCGAGTCTCCGTGGCTCCTCTGAGCCCTCGACCCAGAAGCCGCATGGCCCCATTGCTCTGGAAACGCAGGCGGACAGCTGCGCGCTGCCCCAGGGATGGGGCCCGGGCCCCGGAGCCTTCTGTGGGGGTGCGGGCCTGGCCAGCACGGTCACTCGTCCCAGAAGCAGGGGATGGAGGGCCACGGCTCACTCATGCAACACCAGGGGAAACTGAGGCTTGAGGGGGCCAGGGCAGCTCCTGGGGTCAGCCTCAGCCAGGCCGAGCTGACAGCCCCCACCCCCGCTACCCAGGGGCAGCCTCCGGGGACTCGTCCCTCCCAAGTGGAGGTCAGGCTCGACACCCCTAGGTGCTCTGAGAGGCTGGGAGTGCAGGAAGAGAAGGGACCGGGGGGCAGGGCAGCCAGGAGAGGGTCTGGGGTGCATGGCTTCCAACACAGGCTGTGTGTCCTCGGACAGGTCAGTTAACCTCTCTGTTTCCATCGGCGGGAGCCCAGACCAAGAGGAGCGGAGGAGCGAGGTGACACTCAGACAGTGACCGGATGGGTCCCCTGCCTGCACCCCACGCAGGGTGGCATTCCCCGCTGCAGCAGGCCCAAGCTGCTCTCTGGCCAGGCTGGGAGGCACAGCAGGTGGGGGGGGGGGGGGGCGGGCAGCGCCGGTGGGCAGTGAAAAAAAAGCCCACAGAGCTGCGTCGTGGCTTGTGGGGGCTGCCCGGGCTGGCCTTTGTCTGGGGGACCCCACCTACCCCTAGGGGCTGGGTGGGAGTAGCCCAAGGAGGCGGGTGGGGTGGAAGGGGACCTTCCCTGCCAAAGGAGCCCCCTGCTCCCAGAGTCAGGGCTCTGCCTCCGCCATCAGACTGGGAGGGCCTCAGAAATTGGGTCTGGCAGTTCCTCAACCACTCACATCCCCAGAACGTCGCCCCAAGATTCCCTTCTGGGTGAGTCTGACCTGGCCCCCATTCTATTTTCATTTATTTCGGACTTGGGGCCACTCCAGGTGGTGCTCAGGGCTCCCTCCTGGCTCTGTGCTCAGGCTGACTCCTGGCGGGGCTCAGAGAGCCACATGAGGTGCTGGAGACGAACCTGGGTTAGCCGCGGGCAAGGCCAGTGCCCTCCCGGCTGGACTGTTTTAGCCCTGAATCCCTGGCTTTACCCTGCGCCCCCGCAAGGCCATACCCTGGCCCGAGCTGCCCCCTGCCAGGGCCCCTTCAGCCTGCCCCCTTGCCTCACACACAGTTTACTCCAATAACGGGGGGCTTAGGGGTCTGAGGGGATCCAGGCTGGTTTTGCTGACCAGGCCGGCTGTTCCTACCCCAGGCCAGCCAGGCAGCAGGAGCCCAGGACCTGGGGGACAGGTTAAGCATCTTCCACACTACAGACTTCCTGCCATTGCCGCTCATGGGGGCGGGTGGCAAGCGCGGTTACTGCAGCCACCGCCAAGACACAACTTGTTAAACGAGGAAACTGAGGCCAGGGCCCACTGCCTGTGACCTGGAGGGGCCACGGTGGCCCCAGGGCGCCTCGGAATAGCCCGGTCCCCTTCTTGGGTGTGGCCTCCTGTCCTCAGCCCGGGTGTGCGGGCATGGCCTGCTTCTTTGCCGCGCTAAGTTTTCAGAATTGCGGGCTGGGGGTTCTGGTGCTCACCCCAGAATCCCCTGCGCCCCAGGGATCCCAGCAAGCACACGCAGTGACGTGGGCAGCTGGGGGAGCAGAGAGGGTCTTCCTGACCACCTCACCTGCTAGGTTTTCCTGTCCTAAAGCTTCAACCCCCCCATCAGTGAGGGTAGGGGGAACCACAGATGGGCACGGAACGGCCACGGCCATGGCCTAACGCCTTGCCATGCCTGAGTGCTGTCCCCTTGGCAGGCCACAGACCAGTTCGGCACCAGCGATGGGCACCCATAGCAGCGCCCGGTTAAGCTACAGCCTTCACTGAACTCCAACGACTTCAGCATCAGTCCAGCCTCCGCTCACGGCTAACCCGCTGGTCACGTGGCACGCCCTCCACGGCAGCGCACACGCACACCTCTCCTGGTGACGGGCCAGCGACTGCCCGGGCTCAGCAGTGCCCTAAGAACCCACAGCACCCTGGCCAGCTGAGTGGCGACTCGGGGACGACGGCTCAGGCAGCACTCCGAGCCAGCAGCCCCCAGGTCGCGCCTCCGGACACTCACAGAACTGCTGGGTGACCTGCGCAGCGAGACCCAGGCAGGGGCCCTCCCTGACTCCCTAACTCCAGGTCTGTGGGTCCAGCCTCCTCTGGGGACGGACGTTGCCACAAGGCAGCTCAGGGCAAAGCCAGACTCCACGCTGTGGGCGAAGAGTCAGTGACCCCTGCCAGGGACCGGCCACTCCGAGTCATGCCACTGGTGTCCCTGACATAGGAACCCGTCCCTGAACCCGGCAGCCCATCGCTGCCCCAGGGGAACCTGAAGCCGGGGTGGGGGGCGCCCCCTGGAGGCCGGGGAAGGCACTGACTCACCTTGCCCGTGGATTTGACGCCTTTCCAGATGCAGAAGAAACAGATAAGCCACACGAAGAGCAGGCAGAGTGCCAGGTCCCACTTCAGGGAGCCCACTTCATCGATGCCGGACGACAGGCTGAGCACGTTGCGTCTGCAAGCAAGCCGGCGAACACGGGAGTGAGCCGGGGCCTGGCACAGGGGACACGGTCAGGCCGCCGGGCCTGACACCAGGCTGGGCTCCGAGGCAGATTCCGGCACTGCCTATACCCCGTGGGAGCCCCACCGGCCTCAGGCTAACCCCCTCCAGAGCCGTGGGGACTGACCGGGAGACTGGGGCACAACCCAGCCTGGCCCTGGACCGAGCCTGTGACGCCTCATCTGTCCACGGGGTTCTGAGTCCCCCCGAGACTGGCTCTCAGAAAACCCTCACCCGTGTCCACTGTACACCCAACAGCCCTGCAGGTCACAGGGACAGTGTGAGACGCCAAGGGCTGAGTGCAGCCCGGCTGGACCCTGACAACCTCATCAGGTGGACGTGGGCTCTTGGGCCAGAATCTGTGACTGGACAGGCTCTTTTGAACACTGGGGGACAAGGCCCCACCACAGGTGGGAGGCAGCGAGACTCGATACCCAGGCAGGGTCCCCATTTGTCAGGAATGCCCCCCACTGTGGACCCTACACAGCACAGGGACTGCCCAGGGACCGCTGAGGGACAGTACTGGTGCTCCCCTGGGAGAATCCAACTTCCCTCTTGGGAGAGAGAGCCGATGATTACACTATTCCTCGTTACCTCATCTGCAAGCGCCCCCCCCCGGCCCATCCCCCAGCTCCCAGCGAACACGTGATGAGCTGTGGTTGGGTACCGGGGACACCCATGGGCTGGGCCAGTTTCATCCCATTTATGATCCCAGAGAAACGTCCCCTGGATCAAACCCGATTCTGTTACCAGCAGGCTCGCCAGAGGGCCGGTGAGCTGCTCACTGCCGCCACGCCTGGCCCAAGAACCAAACCACACACAGTAGGGGTGCAGAGAGCACCCCCACACAGCAGGGGTACCAGAACCACATAGTAGGGTGCAATATGTGCCCCCACACACAGTAGGTGCAAAACCCGCCCACACACAGTAGGGGAGCAGTGAGCACCCTCACACATTAGGGCGCAGTGAGCACCCACACACAGTAGGGCGCAATGCCCGCCCACACACAGTAGGGGCACAGTTAGCACCTGCCAGGAGAGCTCAGCTGCCTCGCCCCAGGGGCTGCAGACCAGCCCCATGTGTACCTCAGGAGCTTCTGCTGGGCAGTGACAACAGCTGTCCTCCGCCCCGCCGCTGCTCACAGCCGTGGATTTGTCTGCACCGAGGTCAGTGTGTGGTTCCCAAGCCCCCTACAAGAGTGGCCAGGGACCACCGGGCGGCAGAGCCTTCACTCCAGGGAGGAGGGTACGGAGCCCCCATGCCAGCCGATCCCAAGCCCTGCTGCCCCAGGTCCTTTCCTTGAGACCAGCCGTGAGCCCTGCTGGTCCTCTCACACCGATGCCCCCTTGGGATGCTGTCCCAGGAGCCAGCGAGGCAGCTGTCGTGGGGGCGGTGGTGCACCCAGCCCGGGAGTTGCCCTGGGCATGTGAAGGACACCTGCTGGGTGCCAGGGAGGGGCCTGTGGGCCAAAGACACGCAGGCCTATTCTGGGTAGGATGCAGAGGACGCTGGTGCCCTGGCGCTCTGGGGAAGGGCCTTCTGGAGGGGAACGGCGGGCGGGCCCCCACCCCTCCTTCCCTCTTGTCTCTGAAGCGCATCTCCCAGCAGGATGTGGCTCAGCCCCAGCTCTGGGAAGGTCTGTGACGGGCCTTGCACACACGGACACTGCATCCCCAAGTCGGCGGCATGACCACAGCCTGGAGAGACGGGTGGCACCCCCGCCTGGGATCTGCACGGCTCTTCCTGCCGCAGGGCCAGTGCTGGCTCCCAGTGTGGGGCGTGGTGCCCCCCAGGAAGGCCTCTGGGCCTCCGACCAGCCCCTGGAGACCCCCATGCGACCCCCAATCTGCACGCCCTCCTGTACCGCCACCACCAAGGCCGGTTCCTGCCTCACTCTTATACCAGGAACCAGCTGAGCCCCCCAGCCCACCCACCCCCGCCCAGATGGCCTCGTGCCCCTCCCACCTACCAGCCACGACCCCTGACCTGCCCTAGCAACGACCCAGCCTGTAAGGAAGTGGGGTGGCGACTCCTGACACAGCGGGGCCCAGAGGCAGAGCGGAGGACGACAGAGCACACGGCCCCTCTCCTGGGCTCTGCCGGCCGATCTCTCCCCCACGGCCTTGGAACCTGGGGTCTGCCTTTCCCCGAGGCCCCCAGGACCCGAGTGCCTACCCCCGACCCCCCCCATGGTCTGTTTAAGGGCTACTTTGTCAGGCTGCACTTCCTGCCCCCGCCCCCCCCCCCCCGTGGGAAACTTCCCCAACCCTCCCTGTCCACGGCTTATTTTTCATCCGTTTTTCTTGCTTCCCGGTTCCCGTGGCGTTCACGGTCAGTTTGACCTACCTACGCCTGGACTGGACAAGTGCAGGGACAGTCCCTCTAGAAGCCACTACCCGACCCAGAACCCTGCCGGGAGCACAGGGGGACTTGGCAGCTGCGGATGGATCAGACGCTATAATCAGCCCCACCTGACAGATGGGTAAACTGAGGCTCAGGGAGGTGCAGGGATTCCTCTGAAACCACTCAGATTTTTATTTTTAAATACGAATTAAAAAAAGGAATCGATAAATAAAGCCACGCCGGGCCTGGCTGCTCCTGCCCAGTGCCGCCTCGGGGGACCGGAGCCCCGAGAGCTGCAGTGGCACGGCCCTTCCTGAGGGCGCCCGCCTCCCTCCCAGGCTGCCCGGCGTCGCACGGAGGCCCAGAGGTGAGCGGCATTCTTGTCCAAGAATAGTCATGATTCATTCCAGGGTGGGATCCGAAAAAGGATCGCGGGGCCCTGTCTGGAGCCGGCCGCCCCGCTGCCGTCTGTCCGGCCGGCACTCAGCGATGTAAATACGTCCTCGAGTGGGCCGAATCGTTTCCTTTTGACCGCCGGCCAGCCATTTATTGGCCTCGGCGCTTCCCTGGAGAGCGACCGAGCAACAATTATAAAAGCGCGTCCGCCCCGCGCCTGGGGCCCGCACAGCCCTCGGCCGCACCTCCCCCTTCCGACAGCTGCAGGGGGAGATTGGCAGCCGGGCTTGTTTGCAAATATGACTCACTTCTTTGATTCTAATAAAGTCTAATGATACGTGCCGGGCTCCCAGGGGGCTCCCGAGGAAGGCCTGGCTCCAGCCTCAGCCCGCCCCGCCCGTCCTCCAGGGCCGGGGGAAGTGGGGCCCGCGGCGGGCCAGAGGTGACCCCAGAGCAGGAACTGGGGGGCCGGGGGCCGGGTGTGGGTGGGGGCTGAGGCCTCGAGTCCTTTTTCCTAGAACGTCTGCGGGCTCAGGAGGGAGCCAGCTTGGGAGGTGGCTTTGCGCCCGCGGGCCCTTCCAGGACCCACGAGACGTCTCGGTGGGGCCCGCTAGGAAGGGGGCTCTGGGGCTGCAGATGGGGCCCCCGGAAGCCCCCAGGCGTGACCTGAGAGTGGGGGCGGCAGTGGCTGGTGGGGACAGACAAGGAGTGGGTGGGAGGGGGGGTAGCCGGGGGCACACAGGCAAGGCGTTAGGACTGGGCAGTGTGGCGACTCGGAGGTGCTCCGCCGCCTCAGGCATGTCACTGGGTCTCTCTGGTCCTCAGGGGCCACCCCGGGAAGGGGCTTTGCCCTCAACACGTCCCAGTCTTCCCCCGGGCCCATAGGGGGCCGTGAGGGGACATCCAGGTGGTCCCTGAGGTCTGAGGGGGAGAGGAGGGACCCAGGCCATGCAGCTGGGCGAGAAGGAGCCAGAAGCAAGAGCGCTGCCCACTGCACTCTCCTGCCTCCTCGGCCCACGGGGTGGGAGCTGGGCTGTAGGGAAGCCTGGAACAGCCCAGGGATAGCGGAGGGGGGCAGGGGCAGTGAGGGGTCAGGGACAGCAAGGGGACAGGACGGGGCAGACAGGGACAGCGTGGGAACGGGGCAGCGACAGGGAGGGGGCAGGGACAGGAAAGGGACCGTGAGCCGACAGAGCAGGCACAGGGCGGGGACGGTGAGGACACCGGGTGGAGACAGGGACGGGCAGCGACAGGGCGGGGCCAGCAGGACCGCAGGTCAGCTGCAGGCGGGACAAGGGCACGCCAACAATGGGCAGGGCTGGGCTCTGTCCCGGGGACGCGGGTCTGGCCTGTGAGAGTCCTCACTTGCCCGCAGCCCACAGGAACCACGGGGACCAGGGGCCACCCCTCAATCACGTGCCAAGAAACCTGCCTCCAGCATCACAGGGCAGGTCACTGCTAAGGATCCAGGCCGACTGATGGCTGTGCTGAGCCTCTGCATACAGCAGGCACTCAGTACCCGCATACAGTAGGCGCTCAGTACCAGCATACAGCAGGCATGCAGTACCCGCATACAGCAGGTGCTCGTACCCATCCATCTCTGGGCCTCTCCCCGCAGGACGCTCCCTCCACATTCATCAACTCAGTCTCCGCAACCCTTCATGGTCCCCGTCCCTGGAGAATGAAATCCCGACATGGGCCTCGAGGGCCTTCCCCCCTGCACCCCCTCATTGGCGACTCCCCCACACCCTCCCCGAAAGCCACCCCTCCGCACACCCCACCCTTCTGTCCACATTGTCTTTTCCTCTCCTGCTCGACCCCGAGAGCTCCTACGCATCCCGCAAAGCCCAGCTCCAGGGCCCCTTCTCCACCTGCAGGTAGGGGGATGAGGTCAGAGAAAGAGGGTCTTTCTCGCTGGCAAAGGTGCAGGGAGAACCAAGTTCATCATCTCCAAAGGCAAACCTTGTCCTTGAGACAGCAGAGCCAGGAGAGGGAGCGAGCGGGGGCCCAGCTAACGGAAGCATCCACCAGGAGGGTCCAGGCCAGGACCCAGGCTGGTGAGGAGGGGAGGGAACGGGAGGCCTGTCACCTCTGACCCCCCAGGCCTAAGGCGACAGGGAGGGTAACAGAGGCACAGAGAGGACCGTCCTTTGTAACAGCAGGACATCAGGGCTGCCAAAGGGGGTCATTTGAGTCCCCCAGGTTCCTGCCTGACACTGTACCCTGGGCAGCATCACCGGATGGAGCTGGTGGTGGGTGACCTTGCTGTGACCCTGCCCCCATCCCTGCCCCGGCTCCTGGGGTGCTCGGGGAGGTCAAGAGCGAGGTGGCCGGCATGCCAGGGTGGCAGTCAGCGAGGTTTGGGACCTGGGCTCTGAGCACTGTGTCCTGCAGGATGTCGGCCGTGGCTGCATCCCATGCCAGGGAGAGGAATGGGCGGCCCATGAGGCCGTCACACTCAGCTGCCAGGGGACAAAGGTCTGAGTCAGCGCCTCTCAACCAGCAAGCAGAGAGCGTGTCCACACACAGTGCCAGGGGCAGCGAGCTGGCCTGGGGCCCGCAGGCCACCAGGGACAGGTCCCCCTAGGCTGGCCTGGTGGCCCCCAAGTCTGGGGTGGGGGGGACCGCCAGGGAGGCCTCTCCTGAGCCAGGACTGGAGCAGAGCCCCCACTCAAAGGGAAAGGAGAGTCCTACTGTGATGGTCTGGGGGCTGGGGGTACCCGTCCTTAACAGCACCCCAGTCCCAGCCCTCCCGGCTGTGTCCCACACGCTAAGCCTGTGGAGAAAGGGGGGCCCTACGACCACCCAAGCGCAGGACTAGGAAGGTTTCCTGCACGCCAGCTGCCTCGCAGTCATCACTCCATCTTTCTCTGTGACCGTCCACAGGGACACATCCAGGGCTGTCCACCCCAAGGCCCATCTCCCGTGCTCACAGCTGCATTCGCCCGGAACCGACCCAAGGCAAGTGGGGCCCTGAGGGACGCATCTGCCGGCGGGTTTCCCCAGGTTTTGTTTGTGGAACGCTGAAGCCCCAGACGAGCGGGTGCAGAGACGGCCTCGGCCAGTGGCCCCTGGCACTGACTGATCCCTGCTTCCCAGACGCCCGTCAACCCACAGAGCGCTCCCTGTCCCACACACAACCCTGCTCGGGCGACCCAGCACCGGGGCCCGGCTCGGGGCCACGCTCCCCGCCAAACCCACGGGCAGGAGAACCATCCACCACCCTCCCGGCAGTTAGAGAAACTGAGGCTCAGGAAGGACAGCGACGCCAAGCTCATCCAAGGGCCACAGAACCAGGGTCCGCGCATCCGAGGCACAGCGGAGACTTCCCCGCCCCCAACACCCTCCCTCCGCCTCCCGGGGTCCAGCGCCAGGCGGGCCTGACTTACTCCCAGAACTCGCTGACGGGCGAGGTGTAGTTGTTGCTCCATAAGCTCTTGTTCCTGCGGAGTGTGTCCTCCAGGCAGTGCGGCGTGTTCCAGCTGTGGTTGCACTGCGCCCAGGGCAGCTCAGACTGGAAGGACTGGAACAGGTAGTAGGTGGCCCAGGCCAGGATGACGATGTAGTAGATGTTCAGGAGGGACACGATCACGATGGACGCGTAGCCGATGCCTGGGAGGGCGGAAAGTGGGGGGAGAGGGGGGTCTCAGGAGGGAGAGGGGCCGGGGGCATGGCCGGAAGGCGGGCGAGGCCCCTCCAGGCGTGGCCGACCAGTGGGGGGGGGGTGAGTGGACGGCTGGGTCAGCGCGTGGAGGGGGAGCGAGTGCGGGAGGGAGAGACGGACGAGTGGACGGTGAGTGGGCAGGGGGACACAGATCATGGGCCGGGGGGACACGGGCAGAATCGGCCGCAGGGCCGAGGGTTGGGCTGTAGACGGGTACACGGGAGGGTCCTTACACCAAAGGATGGAGGAACGCGTGGCTGGGTGCTAGACAGGCAGGGGGACAGGTTCAGGTGGGTGCCAGAGTGGACAGTCCACCCACCCCCAGCCCGACAGTGCCAGAGTGACTCCTCCCAGCCCCGCCAAGGACGGCCCGTCAAAGTAACGGCGCTGCCCACTCAGGGGCAGCCTGCGAGGGCCCCAGCGCCAAGTGTCCGTGTGTGTGTGTGTGTGTGTGTGTGTGTGAACTTCCATTTCCGTTTCCATGGGGGCCCTGTCCACGCCCGGACTTACCAGCGAACAGGGGACAGATCTTCTCCCAGCAGGTGATGCCCCCTTCGGAGGTGTACTGGCCGATGACCACCTCCAGGAAGAACACGGGCAGGCCGCCCCCAAACAGGAAAATGAAATACGGTATGAGAAAGGCGCCTGCAAAGAAAGCGGAACAGAGGAGGGTCAGGCGGTGGCCGGGCGGGCCCAGGGGACCTGCAGGAGACCGACACGGAACCCAGGGAGATTCTCCGGGTCCTGCCCACTGGGCCGAAGGGCACATCTTTTTTTTTTTTTTTTGCTTTTTGGGTCACACCTGGCCATGCACAGGGGTTACTCCTGGCTCTGCGCTCAGGAATTGCCCCTGGCGGTGCTCAGCGGGACCCTATGGGATGCTGGGAATTGAACCCAGGTCGGCCGCGTGCAAGGCAAACGCCCTCCCTGCTGTGCTATCACTCCAGCCCCCGGAGGACACATCTTGACCGAGCAGCTTCCCACCGTCTCCACGTCCACCAGGCCTTGGAGCCTTTGCTCAGCTGCCCTGACTTCCTGCACCCCCATTCCTGGGACTCAAGACTACGCGGCCTCGTGTCCACCTCAAAGGCCTCCTCCCGGAATCCTTCTCCACCTGCCTTTCTCCAGCCCACCCAGGCCAGGAAGCTGAAAGGACCTGGCTAGGCCGGGCGCAGGGCTGAGAAGCCAGAGATGGACCCCTCTAGCTGGGGGTAGTGGGAGGCAACTGGGTGATGGCGGCTGCCTGGTGTCCACTATGGGCTTCACAAATGCTTGAGCACATGGCGAGTGAGTCTGAGTGCAGTCCCAGGGGGGCGGGGGGGTGCTGAACAACTTCCAGTTCCCTGCAGTCTGTCTCTGAGGTGGGCTGGGACAGGGCACGGGTCCAACAGGCTAAGCCCAGGGGGACCCCAGGCGGGGCCTGAGTTGAGTTGGCAGGGGACAGAGTGGTCACCTGGCGCTAGCCAACCCTGCCTCTCTGACCCCAGGGCGGGGGGAGGCGTGTCTAGGCTCACCTCCACCATTTTTGTAGCAGAGGTACGGAAAACGCCAAACGTTGCCCAAACCCACGAAGCCACCGGCCACAGACAGTACAAAGTCGATCTTGCTGGACCACTTCTCGCGCTGCGGGGGCTTCCCCTCCGCCTCGTCCTCGGGCCGCGTCCCGGGGCTCTTTCCCGGGGACGGTTTCAGGATGTCCTTGTGGAAGTCCTTGAGACATTGCAGCTTCTCCTTGGTGGCCATGTCCTCGTCGCTATCTGCAGGGGCCAGAGCAGAGCCGGTGTGTGCGCGGGGGGTGGGGGGACAGGCGGTGGCCCCCACGCCACCTCTCCTGGTCTGAGCTGAGGCTGGCGGCCGGCTCTGGGATCCCGCGCCTGCCCCCTGGCAGTGACCACACCCCACGGGGCACCTGGGAATCCCAGAAGCACCGGGTGCCCCAGCTGGGTCTTCCAGAATGTACCCGTGGGCAGATACACACACACACACACACACACACACACACACACACACACACACACACACGAAGCCGCCACCTCAGGCCTCACCCCCTCCCACACCGTGCGGCGCCCCCTCCCTGGCAATTCTGAGACATTTTGCAAGAGCCAGCTGGCATGTTCTCGGAAAGGAGAGAGCTCATTTCCAATTTGGGATGCGCAGGGACCAGAGCAATAGGCAGGACAGCGGGGAGGGCGTTGGCCTTGCACGCGGCTGACGGTGGTTCGATCCCCGGCATCCCATAGGGTCTCCCGAGCACACCAGGAGTGTTCCCTGAGCACAGAGCCAGGCGCGATTCCTGAGTGCTGGGCTAGGAGCTAAGCCCTGAGCACTGCAGGGTGTGCACTAAACACCAATGATCTTATTTCCAGATTTCGACACGTGTCATTAAGACCCCCAACCACCTTCCCCCTCGCTGTGAAGGCACGTCGAAGGTACAAGCCTGGCGGCCCACGAGAGGGCTGCTTGCAAAACGGATCTTCAAGGGTAAACCAATGCGCCCAGAAGAGAAACAAGACCGGAAGGAAGTTTCCACGTGAGCAGGGATGAACAGAAGCACCACCTGTCTCCACAGCACTGAGGAAACAGGCCCGCCATCGACTAGGCCGAGGCCCAGAAAGGGGTGGGGCTGCACCCACGAGGGCTCGGGGACCTCTCACGCACCCCCCATCACCTCTCAGATCCTCTGGGTTCGGCGCCAGGAGGCCCAAGCAGGTCACGCTCTCAGTCCGCCCCCCCCTTTGCACACCACCTGGAGTTAGCCGGCCTCCAGCAAGACGCTTCCTTCTGGGGGATCCCTAAGCCTTCACAGAGGGGGGCGCCTCTGAGCATTTCCTACCATCCCTATGGCAGGGGGAGACAGCCGAGTGGAGAGGGACCAGCGGCTAGCTGCCCTCCCCACCTGCCGAGCCTCAGTTTCCCCCCGTGCAGAACGCAAAGGGGCTAGGGTTACTGACAGTGGTCACAGTTGGCGGCCATCCAAGGAGCCCACTTTCAGAGACAAGTTGAGATGTCAAAGTTTCCTTGGGAAAATGGGGGCCGGGACCCCCCCTCCGGGGCTCTTACACCTCGGAGGCCAAAGGTCACAACGCTGGGGAGCCCTGGAGCACCTCAGTACCCGCCAAGGGGCCAACACCCCTGAAACTGGCCCCCCAAACAGCCACTCCTGCTTCCCGGCCGGCGGCTCAGCCACCTGCCACCCCCCACCCTCTTTCCCAGCCTAGCACACAAGAGAGCACCAGGAAAGAGTCCCCAGGGCTCTGCGAGCAGCTTGTGCTAAGGGCAGGCATGCCTGGCTCTGCCTCCTCCTCCAGGGTGCCCTCAGCACTCAGCTGGGCTGAGCGGGGGTGGTCGGGGGGGAACTGGGGCACAGAGAAAGGACCCACGGGAGCCGCGCGGAGGAGCAGAGGCACCAAAGCGCCCCCGCGCCCCTCCCTGCCCTCCCCTCCTTCCTCCCGCTGGCCAGGCGGGGGGCCCGATTGTTTTGCTATCTGCCAGGGCGCAGACCACCAGGGGCTTCCTGAGCTGCAGCGGCGGGGGGGAGCCTCCCTCTGTCTTCCCGGAGGGCAGGCCGGCGGCCCCCCTCCCAGGCCTTTCTTTCCCCGGCTCCCCCGGGGCCTCGCAGGGGTCCGGCCGGGCGTATGGCTACTGTAAAAATAGCCCACGCGGCCAGCATTGTCCTCGGGGCTCCTGCAGCCCCCGATGGTTATCGGGCCCATTGTGGGCCCTCGGCACGGAGCATAATGGGAGGATGTGGGACTCGGTCCCTCCTCGCGCGGCTCTGCAGGAGTGACCCCTGCGCCCCTGGCCAGCAGGGCTGGGCCCGCCCTGGGAGGCCTCACGGGTCAGCCGGGCTGGGAGGGGGCAGAGAAACTTCCCGGTGAGCTCTCTTCTTGGGGGATGCCCTGAGGAGCCCCTACACTGCTCTCTGAACCCCCTGACCCACCTGCCGCTGCGCTAGCAAGTCTGCAGCACTGGGCTGGGGTGACCTCATGGCAGTGGCGCCACTCAAGGCTGCACGATGGGGGTCTCTTCACTCCCACTCCCCCCGGTATTGGGGGGATGCACTGCGCCACCTGCCTGATCCCAGTCTCTCGGGGGGGGTTCTGCACGCCCTCCCCAGCATACGCCTCCACTGCCCACTCCCACCATCGTTGGGGGGTCTCTCTGCACCCCCTGCCCAGCAGAGACTTGCCGAAGGTCAGACCTGAAGGTCGGCAACTCCCCGCCTCCCTCCCAGGGGCTCCCTCCCGCCTCCACGCCCACCCCGACCGACCCCAGTGTCTGTATTCCCGCAACAGCAGCACCAACCCCCCCCCAACCCGGGTTCTGCTACTGTACATTCCTGGCACCCGCCCACATCGCGCCGTCGCCACGGCAACCGCAGAGCTCCGTGCCCGCATGGGCATCTCTGCAGCCGCCTCGCAGGCCCCTGCTGCTCCTCGGTCGCCCCTCCCCTCCGATCTCTGCTCAACACCGCAGCGGAAGTCAAATGACATGGCAGGATCGCTGGAGAGCCCCGGCCCAGCCCGGGAGGCCTGCGAGGAGAGCACCAGGTCCTTGGGACAGACAGACACACACACACACACACACACACACACACACGCAGGCCTGGACCCTCCCCCTCCCGTGGGGCAGCCTCCCCCCTGCAGAAGGAGGCCTGCCCTAAAAGAGAGAGCTGCCCCTAGCTGGGTGACCTCAGGTGGTCACTCCACCTCTGACGCTCAGTGCCCCCATCTGCAAAGTCGAGGTGCTCTTGCCCCCCGGTCGGGGGTGGCAAGAACGAGGTGGGGGTGGCAGGAACGTGCTCAGTGCCGAGTTACACGGCAGTTGCCCTTAACCGAGTCACCAGGCCCACCCTGACCCTGGGGTCTGCATGCAGGAGGCCTTGAGGCCGCGCAGCTGGAAGTGACCGCTCCCGTGGTCAGCAGGCCCGCTCCCCGTCGCCCGCCACCCGCAGCGGGCCCTGGCCCGCGGTGAGCGCCGGGACGGGCTTCTGCAGAGGCGCTGGTGCTGGCCGGCCGGCCCGCGCTGTTTCCCTTGGCAGCCGGCCCGGGCCCATCCTGCAGCGGCCGCGAGACGCGAGTCCCCGTGCTCAGGGCTTCCTCCTCGGTGATCCCGGCCACCCGCGAGCAGCACTCGCGGACAGCTGGACGCGCGTTTCTTTTCCCGCCACCTCGCATGCTCGGGGCCGGCTGCTCAGAAACCTTCCCGGTGGCCCCCCACGCCCTCGCCCCGGGGTTGGCGGTGCAGGAAAGCAGGTTTGCTTAGGGAGGGGCGGGTATGCGTACACGTGGGGGGCACACACACACGTACACACACGAGCACGCACACACATGATCATGCACACATGCACACACGCACAAGAACGCACACGTGCACGAGAACACACACACACACACACCTGAGCAGGCACACGTGAGCACACACGCACAGGCACGCACACATGCACACTCGCACACGCCCACACACAGGGGGTGCCAGGAGGGCCCCCCTGACTTGCTGAGTGCCCAAGGCCTGCAGCCAGGCTTAGAGACGGGGGCCCTGGGCTGGCAGAGGCAAGTGCCCAGGTGCCCGGGTACAGTGGCGGGCGCTCTGGGGGAAACCCTGCCCCTTTCCCAAGTCGAGTCGCCCAGAAGCTGAGGGTCTCACTGCCCCCCACCCCTCATCCCAGAACCTCAAGGGTGGAAGTAAACAGCCCCTTGGCACCCTGGGCCAGGACAAGGCTCTGGCACCATTTCACCACCCGGGAGCCATTTCTCAAATACGGGGCTGGTACTTTTTCATCTTCCTCTTTGGAATCCTCGCTGTCCCAAAAGGGTCTAGGACACAAGACCCGATCTGAGCATATCCCGGCAAATCCTCGACAAGCAACACCCAAAATGCGGGCTGGCAGCACAAGCGCTGGACAACAGACCCATTTCACAGGTAGGGAAGCCTGAGGCTCTGCTGGGTGTGGAGTCGGGAGCATGGCCGCCCCTGCTCATCCTTCCTGTCCCTCCACAGCCAAGGTTCTGACTGGCAAATCCAACCCTGCCCTGCTTCCGCTTCCTGGGGGTTCGAGAAATGCGTGAAAAGACAAGTGCCCTCAGGAGGATGTGACAGGGTGACGGCGTGAGCATGGACACAACTGGACTTCAGGAGCCGGCTCTGGAACTTTACTGTCGGTCACCAGCCACCTTTCTGATGAGCCAGGCGCCCCCCAAGGCCAGTGACACTCCCCCCAAGTGGAGACTCCCGAGCCTCTGAACCCCACCATCTGCTCCAGGGACACAGAACCAGAGTGACAAGGGGAGGTGTCCACGCCCCTGGGCTGGGCTGACAGACAAGGGAACCAGGGGAGGGTGGACGGGAAAAGCGGGGTGCATGCGGGAAGGAGAAGGGCTCCCAGAGGGCCGGCGGCCAGATGTTGTTGCGGACCAGCTGCTCTTACAAAGAGGAGGTCCGAAGGGACCCCCCGGGGCCCAGCCTCCAGCGTGCAGGCAAGGGACAGACTCTGAGCATGACAGCTGATGACAGTGGTTCTGGGGGCCGTGGGGAAAACTCCCGTCCTGGCCCTAGGAAGTCCCTGGAAGGTGGGGCGACTGCTTCACCCTTCACCTGGGGCAACTGGTTTTGTAAATAAAGGCGATTTTTACCAAAGGGGTTTCCTTTTATCCCAGATAGCTCCTTGAAAAGGGGCGAGTGTCTGATGGGGTCACGTGACCGCGTCCCTCCCGTCTTATCTACTTCCGAGGGAAGGCGGCGAATTCATGCTAACTAG